GAAGTCAATTTGACGGGCTACGGTGTCGTATTCTCCCCAGGACTCCGCATCCACGACCGCCGTAGTAGAGGTTTCCTGAAAAGCGACTTTAAGATGCCGCGACGGCGACGAAAACAAAAACGTCAAAAAGCAATTGGTTGAATAAGCAAAATAACAACGTCACACTTTTTTGTACATTTCTTTGCAGTCACAGCAGGACTACGACGGGAAAATGCCTAATTTCACGTTTTATGGGAGACGTAAACAAGGGACGGCTAAATTTTCTTCCCCTTTCTGAATTTGAGTATGGTTCTAAGGAATTCGGCTCAAAAAGAGTTCGCTTACATTTGACAAAGTTAATGAGTTGAAGTAATCGCGATAGAGATTGAAAGAACGCAAATTCACTTTCTAAGCGACGTTTTCGTGGCCGTCGCTCTCGTATAGTATCTTCAACTCTCTATTGTCTTTAATATGGCCGCCTGGACGACCTCTTAGCTGCTGGAGCCTGAGAACGAGGTACTTTGCTTCCTTGCCGTCAAACCTGCCATGCGCGTGCAGTTCCCACCAAATTTGGAAACAATATCCCCACAATGGGGCCGGTTCATTGGGCTGCCGACTGCGCGTTTTTAAGCCGGGACTGTATGGTAACTTCAAGATAGCCTTTAAAGCAAACACGATTTGCATTATTTTTAACTAGGAAGTTTCTACAATGCACCTTCTTCCCCCAATCCCTTTGTCTCTAAAAATATAGCATCACCATCATCATCATCATCGTCATCATCACCATCATCATCATCATTTATTTGCCTTGTTTAAGTACAATGTAAGTTTACAGCAACATCCTTTGGCGGGAGTCCTAAAGAAACCACTAGGCTTGCAACAGAGCCCAAGTCGAATATAAATATATTTGCAAGTAAAATAAGTGCTGCGCGAGTGGAGCTTGGCCAATTCAGGATTATTTTAGGTAAAAACTCTATCTGATCTATTTTCTATAGCGAAGCTCCACGCGCGCGAGCGGAGCCCCATTGCTATTAAAACTTGGTAATCTATCCATCCGAGAAAATTTGGTTATAACTTAATTATCTCTAATGCGGGTAACGACTCACTGAAAACTGAAGACTTTAAAAGCAAACGTAATGCATTCGAGGCATCGACTATCATCAACGTTTTCAAGGCTCATAATTCAGGCAGAGACTGAAGGAGCGTCTCGACTATTGTCGACTTCAGGTTTACTTCACCTAGCGTCAGCCCTTTCAGAGTCGTATTGTTGATGATAGCGGGGTAACCAATCTTGTTACTGCATTAGTTGAGCATTTAGCCTGAAAGAGGCAAATATGATTGACGTTTTCAAACCTTAGTAACAAAGACGCAAGCTTTACCGCTCCCGTTGATGTTAAGGCACAAAACTCGTTTGACAAAAAGCACCTGCTAGGATTACGTGACTGCTCCAAGAGATGACGGTCAGCGTCGAAATCATCCGCACTATGAGCTTGAAATGTCAGAATTCAGACTGAATTCAATTACGATTCGTTTGACAATTACCACGCTTTTATGTTCAGTTGAGGTCGCTTTCCTAAGACGGCCATCTGAATATAGTCCATATCTTCTTGTGAAATATCTCGTAGTCGCAAATAGACTTCTTCGAATGTTTAGTGTTTGAGCAAGTATGGGACCATTAATCGTATTGCGTGACCAAGTGGATTGCCCCTCAGGTACAGCCGTCGAAGATCAGGCGTGAATTCCAATTTCTCGAGCAAATCAGTCAAGCCAGCTTGACACATATCTAAGAATTCAAGTTATAACATGTTCAGGCAGGGAAATAAGTAAAGTTTTTTCGCAGGAGGTGAAACACATCCTCTCGCACTGAAGCAAGTGATCCGCAATCCCCTTAACGAAGAAGGTACGTTAAATCTGCCAAACAGCTCCTCCATTTCCTTATGTTGCAAGCAGCATCCATCCGAGCCACTTATCTCCAGGTTTTCCAAGGCTTATAACTCTCAGGGGCGGATCTAGGGGGAGGGTGCAGGGGGTGTCCACCCCCCCTGAGATGACCTGCGGTTTTCTGATACAACTGGTATTCTGCAAAAAAAAAAACTATGTTGTTTATTGGTGTTGAAGTAGAGCAAGAGACAAGCGAAGCCCTCCTAAAATAAATCCTGGATCCGCCCCTGAATCTGGCAGCAACTGGATCATTTCTAGGAAGCTGCCCCCAACCCTTCCACTAAGGCAACATTTTGCCCTACATGTAAGTGAAAAGTAAGTGTTAATGTTAGCTTAGGGGAGGGGTAGGTAGGAAGTTTCTCTGAAATGTATGATGATCCATAACAATTAGGGGTAGATTCAGACATTCAGAAAGAGGTACCTGTACATGTAAAGCCTAAAGTCAGCGTGTTGCCAGTACCCGTTTGTACACCCGGGTAAAGAGAGACAAAATTGAGTAAAGTTCCTTGTCTAACAAACAACGAGAAGTGCGAGACTTTAACCCTGGACCTCCAGACCAAGAGTTCGAGGTGTTAACCGCTTAGCCGCACACACCTCCACAAGCCAGTGGATGAGGTGTATCCAACATCCAGTACCAGCTACTAGCGACAGCTACCATATAGAGCTGGTTGAAAGAACTTTAGGTTCCACTCATGGGTTGCTGCCTGACAAGCTAGTTTCAGGGCTAGCTTGGGATCTGCAAGTGAAGCATTTGGCAACTTTATGAGCAAAAATTTTACAAGTGAAAAGTCCCCCTATGTAATGGGTTATTATTTTACACAACGTGAATTAGCAAGACACGACAGTCGAGCACATGTTCAACAACTCACTATGTTCTCTACAATCCCGGCATGCTTCGAGTGTCATGCCACACGTGACGTAAACATTACACCCTGTACACCCTTTATCTTGTGGTCTTGTTGAGAGATCAGTGTGTATTTTAAAAAAATGGGGTGAAAAAGTGGGAAGGATCGGAAGGGACACTGTACGGCACTCACCAAATCTAGCAGAGTTTTGTTGGCCTATAGATCAGTGCCACAGACAATTGACAGAGTTATACCAGCAGAGCTGATGTTCAATTGCCACTCACTAATCTGGCTGGATCTTGTTTGACCTGATGCAAGGAAGCCTAACAATCATCCCAGAAAGAGCTACATTACAACGCAAGGACAGTATGACTTTTTTCATAGTTTGATGAGTAGGACAAGGTCCTGGTTAAGAATTTTAGTTTGAGAGCTAAAAGGAAGAAGGCACAAATTGAAAGCAGAACTGGACCACAGTCATATATGATCAAGAGTGAAGGTAGGGCGGTAAACCTGTAGGCATGTGGATCACATTCTCAAACGACATGACGTCCAATTGACGGAGGATGATGACCTACCTTAGCAAAATCTGGTACCACCCACGGCAGAAGAGGAACTAAAGGATTCAGTCAGTGAGAACATTTCCACTAATCATCTCGCACCGGTAATCTTGGGCATAGAGATCTCAGGACACAAGAGAAAACTCCAAGTTATTTGAAGGACTATGGGACTGTTTGAATGTTCATTATTAAGATTGAGTTAAATAATGTGAATATGAATAACTTTGTCGACCACAATGAGGTGAGGCTCATGGCCTCACTGAATCTTGTGTCTGAAATATTAAATGTACCTGATAGACTTACGACTTGTAGTACCCAATCAAATTGCAACAAGTAGCTATACCTAATGGTATAAGGGCTCATTGTCAGACACAAGGATCTATAGCAGTTCTTGCTTTAGTCATGCTATCATATGATAACTGTTTTCTGTTAATAACTACAATAAATTAAAATTAGGGGGTTGCATTCATGATCAGGAGGGAGGGATGATAAGGCAAGGGGGTGGGAGAGTGAGAAAGAGGTAAGGGGGTGCAAGGAGTGTTAAGTTATGATGTCCTTATTATCTTGATATTTTACATCCATTTTTGATCCACAAACTACAGTTAAAACTCTATGCAGAAAATGAGTGACAATGCTCAAGCTAATGAAACCTGATCTGCTTGGCAGATTGATGAATGGAAATACAATTTGGAATGCAGAGGTCAATAATAACCCTTAGTCAAAAGTTGGCCCTGGTAAATATGATCTCAGCAACTGCCCTTATCAGTGTTATTTTCCTCTATTGTTTACCCTAGCTACCACTTTGGAATGCATTGCCTTTTCTTTTTGCCTTAAAAAATACCAAAGGGCAATGTATTAGTCGTGGCTGGCCCATATATGGGTCTGGACCGTCACAAATTCTTTTGTCTCCTTGTTACATTTTTGTTATTTTTTTCCGCAGTTTTTGTGCCACAAATTTCCATTCCAGGTGGCGAGTCGGTTATGTCTTTAGTGGGCAGATTGTACCCAGTAGCTATATATATGTATGGGGTGAAAGTTCCCTGCTAGTCGATGCCCGGCTTTTTCCAGATATTCAGCGCGCGGGAGGAAAAGAGGCCTCTGCTTGCAATAGCCTGTACACGGACGTTGTCTTATTTTTCTTTTCGTTCTTTTCGAAAACATCGACGAGCGCGAGAAAGAAAAATAAACAACGTCTATTTTCTTTTTCCCTCACCCCTATCCCCACGCGCTAAAAAGGAAACTGTGATCTTGCCTTCGTCATAAATGTCTCTTCACCGGTTTGGGTGAAGGTGTGCTAACAGGAGAAGGCAGTCATTAAGCGAAAAGTTTGGGAAAAGGGGAAAGGGGAGGAGCGAAACTCCCGCGTTCAACCACGTTCCCACGGGAGCCTGCTCACTGACTAAACTGCGTAAGGGATATACGCCCTATCTCAAATAAATGTCTCTTGTCTAATAACCGACCCCCGATTAGCAAATTGGCAATGTATTAATTTAACAACTTTACCTTTGAAGAAGTTTGATTTTGGCTTTGGCGAATTTCTCTCTTTTATGACCTTCACGGAGGTTTTAGAAGACGGAGGTAAACCTTCTACATCCGGGGAAAGAAAACTGATTCCCGCCAAACAAGTTCTGTCACGGGCGGTCACCGCAGCGTTCGTGAAACTTCAAGGCTGTTTTGTCTTTGTTTGTTTATTTGTTTTTTTCCTGGACACTGTTTAGAGCATCGTTCCTTCGTGGTTCCATGACTGGTAGAACAGATTTACCTTTTTGAATTTGAAAACTGAAGTAAAAGACTAGTGATTTTTAGTTCATGGAGCGACACAGCAATGGGGTTGGTAGACTGGTTGGTTCGGCATCCACCCCGGAAAATCTTCTCCAAGAACAGAGAAAAGTGGAAGGTAGGCGCTTTTATTTCAGTTCGGTTCAACCTGAAGTCGCCACATACAACATAGCAGTTCATTTAAGTTAAGTGTTTGTTAGCTCAACTGAGAGCGTAGTTTCTGCCGGTATTGTTTTCGATTCCGGTAAAAAAAATAAGCTTAAGTTTGAGTTAAATTGTAGCTTGTTGTTTTTATTACCCGGGTGTTCGTTTTTTAATCCTTTTACGCTTTCTTTAGTTTGAGACGGGTCTTTACGATCGTTATTACAACTCTGGTGTACCTTAGTTTTGCAAGTTTCAGTTTATTTCAGTCTAGCTAAATGATGTACAGAAAATAAAGATACAAGGCTAGTCTACTCCGCAGTTCGACGATCACTATTCTATTTTCGAGTGTGCAGCCATGCCGAACTGAAGGCACAATAATTGGATTGGTGTGTTAGGTTCGACCTTGGGCTCATCAACCTCGCTTTGCTATTTAGAGCATAAAGGTTTGCTAAAGTCATACTTGTCTATGGTCTGTGGAAATTTGTTGTATCATTTTTTAGAAACTGAATGGTTTACCGAGTGTGTTCAAGGGATTTGAAAAAAGATAAGACGTAGCAGTCCAAAAGTGGCTCGAATTTTAACCGAAAGTGAGAAATCTTTGAAAACCTGACTGAAAACCGAAGGTTCTAGTACTCAAATATACAGGCTGTATTCGGTTGTTTTGCCCTCGACGTTGGGAGAACGCAATTCATAATCTTGGGATTCTTGTCAGTATTACGGGGTTGTCCTTTGGTACTCAGGGTGACAGTTTCAGCAAGTTCTCGCCGTACGTCTTTTTCTGGGCCGTTTTGAATAGACCATTTTACAGTTGTGTGCTTGGTGCCCTGGGGCCCGTTTCTGGAAAGTCCCGCTAATTAACGGACCCGCAAAGCTGTTGTTGTTTACATGCAAGATAGAGTTTTCAATAGTTTTGCATCCAACATGATACAACGATCAGTTAATGAAACAAAAAGGAGCAGTTTGTTAGCCAGGACCCGCGCTCTTATTCTTTGTATTTCGATTTGAAAATCTGATTTCTGGCCCAAAAAGTTACTGGGACTTTCGAGAAACGGACCCCAGGCCTTTGAATAGAAGCGGCTGACGATGACCTTGTTTAGTTACAAACCTTCTTGCTTTTCATATGTAAATGATCATGTTCACGGGCTTGTTAATTAGCATGAGAATACCACGATTTGTTCACATGAGAAGCAGGAAGGTTTGTAACAAAACAAGGTCACCACCAGCCTCGCTTCTATTCAAAGGCCAGGGCACTGAACACACAACTGTAAAATGACCTATTACGTCAATTAAAATTTTTATGTCTCACCTGTACGAAAACATTCTGGGATAAAGTGCGTTTGAAGAATATTATTTTTAGCGATGTCCGATTCACTGGCATCTGTAATTGAGAAAAACCTCATATGTTTCTGTCGCTCCTATCATTGTTTCAATCAGTTACGCTCGAGCTTACCATATGCTTTTGAAAGTAGTGATATCATTATCTTTTTAACGGCCAAATAGGCCTTTTTTACTAGTTTTACTTCTAATCTCTGGATCGAGGAGTGACATCGCCGTTAGATCTACACAACTGGCTCCGATGTTCTGAATGAACTGATTTTTAAGGCTGGCAAAAGTGTAGCATGTAAACGTGTATAAACCATCCTTACGTGAAGCTCAAGCTTCGGTATATAAGTATAGTCTACTTTCAACTCAAAAACGTTTTCGTATGGAAACCTCGAGGATTTGAAAATTGAATTAAGGGTGTTTACAGGCTACACCGTTGCTTCGGAAACCGGCAACGTCAAGAAAAGGATCACGACTTCTGTTCAGGCAACAATTTGGTTTTTCTTGATACCATTATGACAGTATCCACTTTCTCAACGCCCTTCGCCTCTCAATTCCGATTCCGGTAGTAGGCCCGAGCATGAAGGACGAGCTACCCCCCTCTCGCCCGCGTTTGCTACCCACAGAAAACTGAACTTGGCTTGTGGAGCAAGAAATCTAAAACAGCCGACGGGAAATCAAACCCCCAGTCCTTTGAGCAAAGGTTTGACAGCTTAAGACTGCGTAATGTCAGATTAATGACTAGCCATTTGGAATTAGCGATCCCGTACGGAAGCAATAAAGGCCAAAAAAGAAAAAACAACTTGAAAAACACTGTCAACGCGCTATTATGGGTCTTCATGCCTCATGTGCCCGCAGTCACAGTTGTTAAACAATCAAAATTGAAGTGACAAAAGATGTTTTTAGTGCGCATGTTTTGACTAAAAATTATTTAAAGAATTTTGTTTGGTCTTTTGATTTATAACAGGATTTTTTTCGATTTCGGGAAATGTTTGTATTATGTGAAGGAAAATATCATAAAAACAGTTTGACTCATTTATACTTCGTGTTCAACGCCTGTACATCAACATTGATCAAATGACATCCTCTCTCGAAAGTTTCTCCTAACATGAATTGTAAAGACAGGTGTTTCGTTTCCACTGGTTTCGGCAGGTTACATTGGTTTGACATCTCGACCTTGACTGGTCGTACGTTGGTAATTGTCAGGAAATAGTTCCTGTCCCTATTTTGGATAAGTTCTGGCTTGTTTCTCTTAATTTCAGTCGAATTCATACTGTACATGGTGTTACTTATTAAAAGCTGAAAATATTTAAATAATAATAGTAAGATATTTCCTGGTCACTGCCGTTAGCTGTTTTGATTCTTCAAGCTGTAAATGACCTGTAAGAAGCTGTTAGCCCCCAATGTTGTGATCAGATTCGTAAGGTTGCGTTTTTGACATCGCATTGTTAGTTCATAAGAACGTTTAGCTAATCACAATCGGAGAAGAAGCTTCACACCTCTCTAAATCGACAACAAGTCAGGATTTTCAAACTGTAATTTTAGTAGCTTTTTATCTGCTAATATGAAAAGCTTGTATATAAGTAAACACCTTTGTAATTTTTATATTGCTCTCTTTGTTTTATACTGACTGGAAAGCCCAATCTTAACAGTGAAATCTGAGAAAGTAAATTATTTTGACAGGGCAAACGTCTCAAATGTTTCATGCGGGATGAGGCACTTCTAGCCAATCATAGAAGACTTGCGTAAGTATTAATTTGAGCTGCTAGAGACGATGGGTTTGCTAGTCAGTGTAAAAGCAAGGTGCGACAACAGTATAGTAAGAGAACGACAACCACATTGAAGAGTGAATTATAAACCTATACTAGGAGCTGCAAGTCAATAAACAACAAGTGAGCCAGAAGAAGTTGTTTTGTTGTAACGGTAAGCTAGTCCCCTACAAAAAGTCCTTTCAACACAGTGTACTGCAAATCTTGTACAGTGGAACCTCGCCTTACGACCACCACGTTTATAAAACCACCTCGTTATTACGGCCATATTCTTTCAAAGCAAACGTAAAAACCATTGAGTCATTTTATTATTTTGAAGACCCCGTTAATGCGACCACCTCGTTATTACGACCAGGATTTTATGGCCCAACGGTGGTCGCATTAACGGGGTTCCACTGTATTTCGATTGACTGACGCTAGTTTCGTCTTTGTTTGGTTCTTAGTATTAGCAATGAGAACTGAGAGAAAGCCAAGTTTATGTTATAAAATACTTGATAAAAATCACCAGAAGGTGCCCTTTGATACATCGTTTTTGACTACGGGTACGAAGAAGTCGAACATGTTTGCGGTGTAGTAATATCAAAGACGCCCATTTCCTCACGTGGTAATGACTTAATCGTCACACAAGAGATCTCGCGACTTCATTTAACGATTTTTGTCTAGTAAAAGATACTTTGCTAAGTTGGCCGGTGTGGAGATTTAACTCACTTTATTTTTGGCTCACTATTTTTCAGTTGGCAAACCAGATAGCGTGTTGCATCCTGAGATTAAAAGGATGCTGGTGATGGACGTTTTCAGTGGAAAGCGAAGGTATAACTGAATCATTGTTACACTGGTCTATCCAGCCGGGGCTCAAATTCAAAAGGTGCATCTCGGGAACAAACCTGCGAGAGAATTATAACCTGTTTCGCTGTTTGCAACCCGCTCTATTTTAGTTAACTTGCACATTTCACATGCAACTAAGTAAGTGTGTTTATAGTCTGTGTATCACGGTCAATGAAGATTTGGATAACGGAAACGGGGTTTTGCACCTTTCAAAAATATGGGGATCAAAGGCAGTTACAGTCTTTCGTGGTTTCAATCCTACCTTTGGGATCGTGAACAGTATGTGTCTGTTCGTGGTGAAAGTTCATCTTCTCCTGCCCTGCAGTAGGGTGTACCGCATGGGTGGCGGGGGGGGGGGATTGTTTTTGCACATCTCAGCTTTGTAGGGATTGCGGGAACATTGTGAGGAAACATGACATGCGTTACCAATTTTTAGGCTGACGATTCGCAACTCTATTTGTCGTTTGACTCGAACCTACCTGGTCATAACCTGACGCCGTACGCTGAACCAGAAGAATGCGGCGTTTGTTCGAAGAGCACAAGAAAAAACTAGGTACACTCCATCCAGACAAGTACGATTCGGTATCTTCGCGAAATCGAGGCTGTGGAACTCTGAAAAACATCATTTCTGTTTTACACAACATTAACAAATGATTTATCGTAATTGTTGCCGGTGATTTGGAAATAAACCCGCCTTGATTTTGAATCACTGATCAATCAGTGAACTATCAGTGAACGCCGCCGCATCGGAAACCTTGAAAACCGAAAATACTGAATAATACGATGTTATAGAAATATTTTGTTTTCTCTTCGCCGTAGGCATTGGGATCTGTTTGCTGTTGTTTCCAAACCAAAGAAAAAGACCGTGAAAGACCGCCTGGTGGAAGGTTAGTAGTTTCCCAACCCGGTGACCATGCCTCAGAGAGTTTGGGTCTAGAATATCGTATCATTTTCCAGGAAAGTGATCAATTGGTTGAAGATTTTAGTCTAGACTAGGGAAACCGGGAATTGCAAATCAAAAATATAAAAAAGTCAAATCGGTTTGTTTTGGCTGGACTGTGCTAGTGACCTCAGTAGTTTCTGGAAAACTTGAGCTACTCTAGGATAGGGGGGGATTTGGGGAGTTTGGTCTAGTAATAGGGTAGCATAATTCAGCTGAAATAGCTCTGGTATAGGCTAATTAAGGGTTCCGGGGTCCGAGCGGCACATCTCCACCCCAAAATTCCTAAAATACCCCCCGGGGACCATGCCAGGTTCCTAGATGGGGAAAACAGCCAGGGGAGTAACGTGACTGATCTTGAAGGTGTACGCACGGAAGAAAAGGTAGAGCGCCGAAGGCACACCAAACTAGTGGGGTCTTGGGGTATGCTCCCCCATAAAATGTTTGAATTAAGGGCCTCGGAAATGCCATTCCCTGCGTTTTCTGCAGGACATTTTTAAATACGACGGAAAATGCAGTAGTCAGGTGTTTATTTTACCCATCCCTAGTTTTATCGGTAAAGTATAGTGTTTACGGAAAAAGGAGCAAAAAGTAACGATATCAAGGAGGTTACATGCAAAGGTCGAGACGTCTACCCTTCTGACGGGCAAACTCTGTTACAGCGCCATCAATATCAACATCCTATGCTTGTTTATGTGCAGAATTGCTCCCTCCTCCGCTGAGGCTTCCGCTGGGTATCCCTATAAAAATAGCAGGAGAGAGTGCAGAATTGCAAGAGAGTAGTCTCTCGCCTGTCACCCCACTGCCACACTACGACGATTCTTGACGTCCGGTTTATATAATACAAAGATAAAGGAAAAACGAGAACAGAAACTCCAATATAATGCGACAATTTATCAGCCATCCAGAATTAATTATATATGTTTTCATGCTTTCAGGCCTGGGTTTCAGGAGATTTCAGCTGTACGCACGTGCAAGGGCGTGCATGCTTATATTTAACAATTATTCTCCGAGCCCGAATGGGCTCTGAGTCAATAGCCCATGAGGCCGAAGACTAGTTGGTCAAAGATATCGAGAATAAAAAACAAATTAGCTTGTTAAAGCTAGATTTTAATCCTTTTTTGCCGCCAAAAAGCCCGCGCTTTTGGCTACTAGCTAGGGGACTATAACATATAGCCTAGTAGTAGCTCAACCAATCAGAACGCAGCATTGATAATAGACCACTAGTTGGATTTTACTAAGAACGTTTATTCGCTCCTGACAGCGCAGATTGTGGGCAAGCGAAGCGAGAGTTTATTTGCCCTGAAGGATACTCCCTTATATAAGCCATATAGGTATGTACCGCCCGAAGGGGTAGGGTCTTTATAGTACACACTTTGCACATTTTGGTCTGGAATCTGCAATGGTTTTCGAGGGAACTACGGGAGCGTATGAACGTATTTATCGTTTCAATTCCAAATGAATATTAAGGAAGAAATAGAAATATGCTAATTCGAAATGCATTTGGAGAAATGTTTTGTTTGTGCTCTAATCTAAGTAATGATGACATAATTTCTGCCTAAAGGCCAAGGGCCCGTTTCTCGAAAGTCCCGATAATTAACGAGCCCGGTAAGCTGTCTCCGTTTACATCGAATATCTAGGTTTCAATAGTTTTGCATCTAACATGATAAAACTATGAGCTAATGAAACAAAATGGAGTAGTTTGCTAGCCAGGACCCGCGCTCTTATTCTTTACATTTTGGTTTGAAGATTTGATCTCGGGCCCGAAAAGTTACCGGGACTTTCGAGAAACGGGCCCCACGTCCGAAAACGGGTGTGGATTTCAGAGGTCATGAGGTCTGAAAAGTGTGGACAAATGACATTTTTCGGTCTGAAATAGGGTCAGGATTTAGAGAACCGGGCGCCACACTCCCACCAAGAATTCCCTGGAGTACCCCCCTAGGATTTGCGGTTTTTCCTCGCCATGAAGCCCGTTTCTCGAAAGTCCTCGTTACTTTTTGGGCCCGAAATCAAATATTCCGTCGAATCAAAATCTGGAGAATAGAAGCGCAGGTTCTGGCTAAGAAACTGCCATAAGGTTTTGTTTTAGCCTCGACACAGACTTTGTTTTATTTTTCTTTTCGTTCTTTTCGAAACGGATCATTACAATGGGGTTGCATTCTCATTAGAGTTACTAGAATGGGATCGCACTTTTTCTGGTTTTGGGGATCAGCGAATTCAGTTAGGCAGGGATTTAAAAATGGGAAGATTTTTACATCATTAAGTTTAACCAATGTGCTAATTCATTTCCTAGGAATGACCTAGTTAACAGGCTTAAGTAGATGCGTAAACAAAAAGTTACTCGAGTATTACATTTGACCGAAAGCAAGAGAGGATAAAGGGGATAGAGAAGGCGTCCCCCATACACACCCTATTCCATAGGTAATTCGTCTCGAGTTATTTTAAGAATCGGGATAAAGTTACCTCGCGCGGTGCCTGGCTGTTTCGTGGAGGTTTCGCATGACTAAACGCCGTGCAAAACATGTCGGGCGAAAGGCAATGAAAGCGTAAAGAGATCGAGAGCATTTCTGAATATTGAAGCGAAATGAGTCGGCGCTCACCTAGGAAAAGGGAATCGCTGGACTCTTTGACAACCCGTGAAATCAGTTTAACTCGAAGTTGTCGTAACCTCAGTGCTTTAATAAAATGAGAAATTTCGCCAGTCTATTGAAACCGGTCGTTTGTATAATAAAGCAAGTAGGACGCCAAGTGTTATTTTTGTTGAATAATAAAAGACTAATAAAAGAATAAATATCAAACCAGAAATTGCTCTCTTCAAACTGTAAATTATAAATGATCCTGAGAGAATATTCAGTGTGTTAAGGATTTCCTGCTGTACTGTTAGCTCCGTACAAGAGACGAAGGGCGATTCTTTTTTAATTTCCGTTTCGCTGACACAGCTTTAGCAGAAATCTCTCTTTAGTCGTTTTCGTCGACAAAACAAATAGCAATATCGCTCTCCGCGTCTTCCGCCATTTTTTTCTGCGTCAATTCGTGAAGGACGCGTGGCTCTGAGCGTGGGTCGTCCACGCGGAACACATTCGCACTAGGTGATTGGCTGTTGTCTAATCCCCCTTGGGATCTATGGTCTTAAAAATAACTCGAGACGAATTACCTATGGAATAGGGTGTGTATGGGGGATGCCTTCTCTGTCCCCTTTATCCTCTCTTGCCCGAAAGTGACTAAGATGGGGTCTATATTTGGCCACAGAATAGACTATAATGAGCCAGGCCTGATAATGGGCTAGGGGTTCTGAGAGGCCCTCGGCACGAACCCAGCAAAAATTAACCCAAGTCCCCCGCCCGGGCATATTTCTGGGCCATCCAATTACCGGGACTTCCGAGAAACGGGTCTCTGGTCCCGGGTCTCCCCAACCTAGTCCTCAGGGCGCTTTTCCTTCCAAAGCCAGGCAAAGGGGCCCTGGGGATGAGGTTGGGGTTTCCCCTTCCTGATTGGTCACATGCAACATCCACCCGCTGACCAATCTAGGACACTGAGTGCAATATTGGGTAACAGTTCAATGTACAGCCTTCTTTATCACCAAAGTTATCTTCAAAATGCAACTTTAATCGCAAAAACAACAAACTTTAAAATTGTTCTTTCTTACTTTGCTTCCATTACTGAAAAATGAAGTAATTTCCGTTTCCGCTCACGTGGCTTGCACGTTCTTGCACCACACCCCCAAAATGCATTCTTCATAACCGCAGGAGACCTGAAAACTAGACAAATATCGCGGGCTCAAGAGGCCGCACCTCGATTCGATTTTTGCCTACCTTGCTGGTGTGCTGCTAATACTTTGACTGCGAAGGAATTTCGACTTTTTCCGTCTGTCATTTGGTGAGTTGTACACTCTTTTAGTTGTCTTTAAATGTAAACAACGTTTTTACTTGTTTTTACGTCGACTGAGGGCAGAAATTGTTGCAAACAGAGCTAATGTAACCTTCCACGCGACGCATGTCGCAATTTCGTAATCAGCGTTTCCGCACGTCCACGTTATCGTTCTCCTCAATTTTAAATCATTTTAGCGCTTTGAAACCCTGAGATCGTCTGTCCAGTGACCACTTAAAACGCAATGTGGCTGAGCTAAACTTTTTCTGCGAAACCTTCGATAGCTTCTTAACTTTAAAATGTAAATTTTTGTGTGTTTCCTTGTGTGGGTTGATCGCTCCAGCGTTCCGTGCCTCTGTCTTTTCCTGTCTCGCCCCAAATGTCTTCGCGTCGTTGCGTTGTTGCAGTTCGAACGAAATTCACTTGTTTGTTTTTTGCCTCGATAAATTTTATCCGCCGCTACACACAATAGGCCCTGATTTCAGCTGGATAATGGTTACCAGTTTGAAAATTTCCATATGACCCTGAATACTGAATTGTTAATGCCGTCTCCGAGTGGCAGCATCTGCGGGTTGCATGATTATATTGCCTTCTGATTTTAAGTGAATTCTTAGCTTTTACATCGACTAGCTTTCGCTCTCTTTTGTCTGGCTGGACTCGATTTTGTGGAGAAACATCTGTCTAACATAAAACACGTCAATTCGGGCAGCTCAAATAACACTTCCAGGCGAAATCTTTACAACCTCGCATTATCGGAAACTAAGTGAAAAGCCGGCTAGTGCTTCAATTTTCTGCTGTATATACTTCATAACAACATAGCTTTTTATTACACCTTTGATTAGTTCTCTTTTCTTTGGTTGTTATCCTGTTGCTTTCATTGACACGGGGGAAAATGAAAGTTCAAGGACATTGTTTCCTTTACCAAACTTACATGGCTGTTTAATTCGCGGAAAATGTCTGTTTCTGTAAAGTAAATATAGTACATTTTAAATCATTCTTTGTTCACCTTTTTGAGTTTAATGAAGTTAAAGTTAATTCTCTCTTGACAAAGAAAAACGAGGTTGGGTGATACCGGAATCTTCAACAGCCATGTTATGCAAGTACACTTGCTCTCTGTTTGCAGCCTTCTCTAAATATTTTAATAGTTGCTTTTAAAAAAGCAACTTTTTTCTGGTTGTGTCTAGATCTGAAAGTTCATAGCAAATTTGGAGAATTGCCCACTATTTAGATATAGTAATTATATTGTAAGTGGAATAGTAAGCTATCTTTTATTCTTAAATTACTTGTATTACCCTGTTTCATAAAATCCCATCTGCCCGCAGGTGTCAAGATGTTCCTTTAGTAATGTGTAGTGACCAAAGTTGTATTTCTTTAAGCGCTTAGCTACTGTAGCTGTTTGAAGAATTTTTAAAGAGGGATTGTGTGGTTCCAGAAAATATCCAGACCCCCACCATGGAGGGAATTGGAAATTCCAGGGGGGTGGGGGGGTCAGAGGACCAGGAAATTCCAGGAGGAAGGGGGGGTTGGACCATAAAATCACTTTCCAGGGGGTCAATATCATTTCGTTTCCGACCTGTCCTTCTTAGCGACCTGGAAGATCATTTTTAGGACATAAATAACTTGAAATATATCACTTAAGATTGTTCCTTTTGATCTTAACCAGGTTTCCTTTCTTCCAAAAGCGTTTTGGATGTAATTTCAAAGGAATTGAACCGTCCACAACTCGTTTTATCGCATGCCCGTGTATTCGGCCGCCATTACTCGTTAGCAGTCAAAACATCAACGTGTGCAACACATAACGTTGCGTCAGTTGATCGATCAGTAGAGTGGCAATTTTGCCTCACGAAGCACAAGCTATACATTGAAACCATTTTAAAATGTAGAGTTTTTATTCTCCTTTTCATTTTCCCTTAATTTGTGGCTGAAGGTGTGGCATGTTCATGATCGAATCCTCGCTGAAATGCTGTCGATTTCACCAAACATTTATACGGCCATCGCGCATCATGTCCCATCAGTTGATCGAAAAACAGTAAATTGAACTTGGTTTCCCTTCAAGATGCAGGGGGTATTCATTGTTATCATTTCAGAGTTCAGAGTTTTTATTCTTCTCTTTGTTTTGCATTAATTTTGTGGTCGTAAGTTTGACTTGTTCTGCATTCCCGCACGAAATGGCGTTAATTCTATCAACATTACGCCCATGAAGACGAATAACAAATCGTAAGCTTGCCCTGATTAAGGTAAATTCACAAATATAACGGACTTATTAACTTTCTCTGTTTCATTTAAAGTAAGAGATGAGCAAAAATTGCGGATCAGGTTACTTTGTGGTGGTGTAGTGTGTTTTAATGTTGCGAGATCACTCAAATAAATGGAAACAGAAGTATACAAGCTTCTGATGGAAACCGTTGCATACCAACCATAAATGGCCTCAATCTTCTCCGAAATGAAATTCCCTCCGTGGTGGGGGTCTGGATATTTTCTGGAACTACACATTTCTCGAGTACATTATTTGCTTTCTTTATCAAGTAGATTTGATTAAATTTTTGAAGTATCTTTTTCAATGCCAAACCGAACAAGGCCTTCCATGACTCAATGTAACTTGGATGATGCAAAAGCATACAAGCTTTTGGGAGCCATTATTCTTGAATAAGTGAGAGGTTTATCACACTCATTTTAAATTTTACAATAAACTATGAATACAGTTTTGCTAGCAACATGTATGACTGCTTCCCAACAGTAACTTTGAATCTTAAAACCAGGAATGTGCCATGCCGATTGGAAAGGAAAGGTGGCTACAATCTGTTGGAAGTGTCCGAACAACCTAGCAAATGTTCTTGAGACTTCATCACATGTTCCTTCCCAGGGCTCGAAATTTAAAGAAAAAGTGTAGTCGCATTTTTGCGACCAGTTGAGAAAAGTTAGTCACAAAGCATAAGTTAATTCTCAAAATAATGGACAGCAGGTTGCCGGTCATGATGACCAGTCAAATATTTTTAGCCCGGACAAACCCCGATTTTGACCGGTCAAATAATGAATACTATATTTTTTTTTGGCCTTTGCAATATCGAATTGCACTGGCAATAGACTGTTGTACTGCATTGACTTTCAGGTTTTTGGCGGCAAGTTGGTGAAAAATTCATTCGCACATTTTTGAGTTCCTTTCCAGAGTTTTCACACGTTTTCATGTCCTTTTATATATGCCTTGAGTATCATCGTATGGCGGTGTCTGAAGTCTCATAAGGTTCATCCCATATCTGCATATCTTTGAAACTTGAGCTTTTTCGTTGCTCGGCAAGTGATCGAAAAGTCTCCTCCAGAAAGAAAAGAAACTTCGCTTATTATTTTCGGCAAAGAAGTTGATTTGGCGAGAAATCTGTTCCACAAACAGTGTATTTATCATCAGAAGTCAATAAATATACAGCAGAGCTTTTGTTTGGGTCATCGTGCAGTGCTTTTTCTTGAAGGGCTCATTAACAAACCGGAAGGAGGATTTTAAGTGCCGAGATAGGCAACGTTCGTTCTCAATCAGCTTAAATTTTTATCAGACAATTCTGGAATCGAGTCCACAAACAAGATTCGTGTACGACGTAAAGAAATTATTATAATTAATCGATGCGCTTAAGTTTATTCCTGGAGAAACAGTACAGGATGACCTGTTGAGAATTGCAATCAATTTGCCCAAATTCCGTCGACGGTGATTTTCACAATCCTCTTACAAGTAGATGTGAAACGTTAGATGGACAAAGACTGTTACAGTACAGCTCAGAGATAAGCGTCCACGTATATACATGTAAAGCTTCAGAAAACTTCAGAAATCTCCAAGAGCTTCTGAGCTTTGAAACTCCTGTAATGCAATCTGCTTTTGAATTTCATCACGGTAGTTGCAGTCACGTGTTAGGCAACGAAAAAGTTCATGCGTATCAAGTTCCTTTGCGAATAAAACAAGCCCAATCTTACGACAGATAAACTCAAACTTGAAAGAACTCGCTATATTTCCTAGTAGAATAAAAAGTATTGTTTCTCGAAAGTTTTCAAGGATTGTGAACACAGTTTCAGAGCCAAAGATTGGTCATGTTACGGACAGACGAGTTTGTTACCGCTGATGGCCAGATAAGCCCAGAATCGTTTGGTGTTACAAAATAGACATGATGTTATTTATATACACTGTTTGTTTGCATTTGGAGCAGGCATTTGAAACCATATTTAAAGAAATGAAGCTGGATATAGATGCCCTTGAAGAAACATTCGCTTTATAACTTTAATTGGTCTTGTTTCGAGCATACAGTCGCTTGCGCGAATAAACCATGCTGTGTTGTGTTACAGGTGTATGTCTATGTAAAGTTATCGAGAAATCAGTACTGGGTGAATCTTTTGTTTAGTGTCTTGCGAAACTCAATCCTTGACTTGTTCCTCGATAGGCTAAGCTTGTTCTCGATTTTTAGATCAGTTATACGTGTAGTTACCTGGGGTAGGGAAAACAAGGCAAAAACAGTGAAGCATTAAACAGTGCATAACAAAAGCGAAAGCTGGTTTCAAGAACACGTTTTCAAACTAGTTAACGATTTTGCATTAACGCAGAAAACGTGCGTGTGTTTTGCGTGTCCGTTGGTCGCTTATCTCTGAGCTGTACTGTAGCTATCCTTTAGGTTTCTAATGGATAGCGGATTATTGCTAGTGTAGGTTTTCCCAAAGAAGGTCATATTACTGATTACACCCAGTACAACCTGCTGCATCGTTGCATTCCTCCACAACTCAGTTTGTTGTTGTTTTGCTTTGTTGCATTTCATTAGGACATGACAACATGAAACTTATTTCGGCGTTCTTTTTCTTTGAAGGTGTTAGTGCAAAGCAGCAAAAAAACAAAAGCCAAAGAAAAAAGAAATCATTACAGCATTATAGAACAAAATGCATTAAGTGATGGCTATATGGAAAATATTATAAAATGTTCGCATCCAAAAATGACTGGTTAAAATGACCAGCAAGACGAGAGTTTGACCGGTCAAATCCACGATCAGGCCGGACATTGTCCGTTGACCAGCCTTTATTTTGAGCCCTGATAAGTACTTTGACTAATATATTAATAACTCTTTGATTTCAGCAGCTTTTATTCATTTCTAATCATGTCTGAAAAACAGTTTCTGAATTACTTTGACGGCACAATCAAGATAGTAAATTAAAAGGTTCGATCGATTTCAAAAACTTACAACCCACACAAATAAATTGAAATTTAAGGAATTAAAGGTCAAATGAACCAAAAATTCGACATTTTTTATGTTAGCTCAATTCTAGTGAAATATGTTTAATATGAACCGAATAAACATACTATGAAGTTTCAGCTCAATTGAAGCAAGCATCTCCAAGATATTTGCAATTAAAAATTGTTATTTTTTGGCCCTTATCTTCGTAGAGCGGTCGGAAAAATTGTCGGTAAAAACAGCTTGTGACGTCAATGTTGGTCAGGTGAAAAAAAGCGGGAAATTCAAAACAGTGTTTTTCGAGTCGACTTGGCGCAGAAATTGTGGTGGTTTGTGCGGCCATAAACCTAGAAAGAACAAGCAATTTGTCTTCAAAATTTGCAAGCTGTGTTTACAACCTTATTATTTAACTTTCTCGAGGAATACATCATAGTAAAACGGACTTTAACGGCGGCATTAATTTCCTTGCGCTGTACTGGAAATGTGCGTGCGTAGGTCCAATTTTTTTCAAGATGTATTCACAAAATGTGTTCATATAAGGATGTTTCTGGATATTTTAGGTCTGTAGCTCCACTGTGGACACAAAAACAAAATATCTTTGTATAGTGATTTGCCCAAAGAAATTAATGCTTGCCCACAATGTGTTTGAAGTCATTGAACTTTGTCCCACTCGAGCTGATTAAAACCCACGCTCGATCGGACACTTGTCCTTCGCAGAACACTAAAATATAAACAAAATCCTCAATGTAGAAGTTTTGGCGTTGATATGTGGGCAGAAAAAGAGTTAATCTTTATCTACTAAAATCTTCCCCAAAATCGGTTTCAAAGCAACTACAGTTTTTTTAAACTTGATCGTTTCGCGTAGATAAAGTTTGCTTTGTGTTGTCAGGTTGAACATGCATAACACTTCTCAAAAACCGAGTAAGATTTCCTTTAAACAAAGTTGAAGGTACATTATTGCAAAAACTTCTCTCCAGTTATGTATGTGATTTAATTACCGACTGATGTCACTTTAAGGACCATAGACGCCTCTTTAATCTCGCAAAGAGAGGCGACAAGCAAAGAACAATTCCGTCATGCATAAAATTCAGCTTAAGTGAACTAAAAAAAGGTTCAATAAACTAACTAAAGATCTTAAAAGCAAAAGATCAGTTGCAAGCTTTGCACTTAAGCCATGATTCACCATTTAGCTATTTTTAAAAACTGGTCCATGCGAGGGTCTTCATTCAAGCAAATTAAACGCAGCAAACTGAATCATTAGAAAGTATGGAAAACTGCACATAAGGGTTTGTTTTACTCGCTTCACTCAAATCCAGCTCCAGCAATTGTTTACGGGCAAAGAGTCAATTGTTTTTGAGTCACTGCCGGCAGTTGTTGTTCTCAGCTACTTCACAGCGAGTGAAAAGGAAAATTTGCGTACAGAAAGAAAACAAAACTACGTAAGTGAAAATGAAAAAGAAAAAAATACTCTGACTATCATTACTTGAGCAACAGAAAAGTGATCGAAGTAGTCTGGTCTTCTCGAATAAGCTTGTAGCCTTCCAGAGTTCCGAGGAAGTTTTAAGGGCTCAAGTTTGTTCACTCGCAAGCGTTAGCATTACGGTTCTTTGACATAAGACAAGGATAAAGCTGGTTCTGCAAAGGTAAATGAATCTGGGCATGTAAAAAAACTAACCGTAACTACTAATAACAGAATACAAGCGGGTTTTAATTCAGCCCGGCGAAAGAAGGCGAAGCACTGGACACAAAATCAATTCACAGATCGATGCACAATTATCAGAAAAATACAAACCTCTTTTGAAATGTTCAAAACGTTTTATTCCTCCTCAGACTGACAGAATGATCTGTTTTTACTCTAACATTGGTTGTTCTGAATCCAAAGTAATTTTCAAGTGACGAAAAAACAACAACATCAAAAAAAACCAAAAAAAAGCCTTTACAAAGAGCAAACGTTTGCACCTCATGTATTTCATTCAGTCTCAGTCAGAACTCTCACAGGACGAGACAAACAAACGCAGGCGATAAGGGATGCGCAGAACGTTTTTCCCCCCTGAAAGACCAACATTGACGTCACGTAGTCTCCAGTCTATCACGCAGCCATTTCAGACACGTTTTCGTGAAGTCTTCGGAAATGCTCGGATTTTGATCTTTTATCTTTCTATAAAGGCTTGGGAAGAAAAATCTTTACCCAAATCTCACTTAGGATGGTTCTTTTTAGTGTTCGATGAAGGTAAAGCGGCAAAAGAAAATATTTCAATTTTTTGGTTCATTTGACCTTTAAGGAAGATGACAAAGAAACTTATTCACTCAAGCTATCTTCAGTACAACTTTACAGAGGACGAAGCAATAACTTGCAACTCCCGGAAAATGAAAAACCACTGTTACTGCCCCGCTGCGCAGGGCATCCGAAACTTCGCACGGTGACAGAGCCGCGAAATTCACAAAAACACAGGAAGTACTGCACAATTCGGCAGAAATCTTACTGAATACATGTCAGTTCAACATATTTGAAACTTATCTTGGGATGTGTTTTGCCATAAACTTGCAAATTTATCTTGAAACTTTGTCACTGAAACGAGAAAACGTCCCAGTACCTGGTGTTCTTAGATTATTATTGCGAAAAACTGGACACTGGCCACCGCATGATATGAAAATCTTTGCCACTGGCACCTGCACATTTCGGAGCTCATTGTTGTTAGAGGAGCAAATGATGATCTCTGATAAAAAAAAAAACTGTGGGAGAGAATACCAAGTCCAAACGAGATCGCAAAACAAGCGGTGGTTTTGAACTCAAAATCGCCAGGTTTAAAAAGGCAACATTTATAAGTAGTCAGTGTTTCTGTTGTTGTTGTTATTGCACAGGCTAACGCTCATCACTTCCCCCCTCCCCTAAAATTGGCAAAATTGCCGTCTTGTTTCATTAAAAATGTTCTTGAAATCAACGCAAAACTGATTGCTTTCTAGCCCAGAAAACTTCCATGAAATTGGCCATTTTTTAGCAATTGTTTTTTGGCAAAATTTCACCTGAATTTTTCTGCAAGATTCCTGCTAAATCTGCTGTTTTTTCTTTGAATTTGTCGCTGAAAATCCCACGAAATTTGACTTTTTTCTGCGACCTATCAGATTCCCTGTGTTATGAAGGGTTTACGTTGTAAAAGATCTTGACCTGGTCGCCATTTTTCCCTCTCCAACATCCCCCCCCCCCAACTTTTCCCCCCCGGTTTTATGAACGTCAATATTGTTCGATCTTGACCAATCGTATTTTAAAAAAGTGAAGGTCTGAAGCACATTAGAAGCGTGAAAGAACAGACAAAATGTCCGGTCATTTAAGGATTTGACAGGACAAGGCCTTTTTTTGACCAGAAATTGTCCATTGACCGGCCGTTATTTGAAGCCCTGCCTTATGGCCTTTTTTATCATTGTTATGTCCATTACTTAATTTATTGCCATTAAGTTGTAATAAATGAATAAATAATCCTGTTAAATGATAATTTGTACTCAAGTTAAAATTCAATAAGCGAAACAGTCATTAATCTTATCGTCTCTTAATGATGTGAAATCCCTGTAATGTCTCCCCTCGTTTAATACACAAAGCTCTTTATTACTACACATGCTTACAGAAATAGCGGGAAACTTGTGTATAGAGGGAAAGAGGGACTTAACAGAGGCGTGTATTGGGAGGTTTTCTCATGCTTTGATCTTATTAGGCTTGTAGTGAGTTCATCAACAGGTTAAAACCAACTGTTTTAAGATGAGAAAACCTCTCTATAAACATCACAAGCAAAAATTACAGGACAGCCCTCTTCTTAGTTGTTCCTAACACATTCTTTTTTTCAAATGATATAAAAAATGAATGAAGCAAAAAGGCGCAAACTTACTCGCATGCTTACCTGTTTTCGAAGTATGACTACCAAGGCAGTGCCATTAGCGTTATAAAGTCCATTATAAACTAAGAATTATAGCTCAAAAATGGCTTTTCCCTCCCTTGGCTGTGTTCTCAATTTATAGTAACAAGGACAAAATAAAAGCTGCAATAAATCGAGAATAAACAAGAATTTTTGTCAACACTCTTTCTCACCGTTATCTGCCATTTTGTATTTTTTTGAAAATCATCCACTGGCCCATCGCCATGGTGATCATGTGGTTGTGACATAGACTATTCTTTTTTGGATCTTCCAAAACTGGCATACTCCCGAACTTGGAAGTGTCAACCTGAAGTACACCTGTTACAGTAGCACTCAAAAGTAAGTTACCACCCCCTCGTGTCTCTCGTGGCACACAATGACCTGAAGACCTGAAAGTATTATGGCAAAAGATTTTATCCATGGTAAAGCTTTACTGTGACTAACACAGGAACCAGTTTTTTACCGATGTGACCTGTAGACTGCTGAGTATGATTCCCTTTGTGAAGGATCAGCGACATCAAGATGTCAGTTAGTATTAACGTACTTCATGTGTAAAACATGCTTTGAAGACACTTTGTATGAAACAAACTTTTTTAAAAAGAAACTTGTCAACGATAGCTTTGCTTGTAGCTTGTTAGTGCCAGCAGGTTTTGTTAAAAGTTTTAAACTGAAATGAATATTGATATAACAAGTTATGTGATTACAAACATAAACTTCAGATAGCAGACAATTACTGTTTGTCCCTTCAAGGCATCTAGAGGGAAGAGGAGAATCAATAATTGACATTAAGACAGAATCCATCATAAAATTGAGTAATTTCAATTTTCATTGGACGAAAACCTTGTACCAGAATAATTTAAACAATACTGCATTCTTTTTGACATTTTTCAAGGGCAATAGATATAATTAGTTATCTGTAATAACACCAAAGACTAATTCTCATGGGTGCCCGAGAAAATAAATGTCAAATTTCACAAGAATTTTGAAAACGCAGGTAAAATTCTTAAAATTTCATGTAAAAGATGTCTTTTTGTGAAATTTTACATTTATTTTTTCGGGCTGTCATAAGAAATTTTCTTTGGTGCTATTACAGATAACTAATTACATCTATAGCCCTTGAATAATGTAAAAAAAAAAACTGGGCATTAGTCATTATGTTAAAAGCTTAGCCATATGCTCATTTCTCAAGCGCTTTGTTGTTACAATAGCAAATGATCATCTCTGTTTAAAAACATTAAACATGCTCGTCAAATCAGTGCAAAATCGAAAAATTCCCACAAAATCGGCCGTTTTTTACCGATTGTTTTTTGGTGAGGTTAGCCCCGAATCTGTCTCTGAAAATCCCACGATATTTGACTTTTTTTGGGACCTATTAGAAGCCCTGTAGTATGGTGCGATCCATCAGATATATCGCGAACAGAAGTCTGCATAAATTTGGAGGTAAACTGGCTTTGTTTATGCGATTTGGCACATTTTATGTGACGAAAGCAAAGCAAGATATGATGGAATGTTTGTTTTAACTTTACTCTTTTAGTTTAAATCTAAATCATAGAGAAACCTGGTCGCCAGTAACCAGAATTTTTAGTCGCCAAGGAGAAAATGTTAGTCGCATTGGCAACCTTATCAGGTGCAATTTTGAGCCCTGATTTAATGACCAGCTCCCAGTTGGTGTGCTAGCTCAGTTGGTTAGAACACCACACTGGCCCGAATTTTTTCAGGCTTTCTACCTTTAAATTATTATGTTTATTTACGTTTTGTGATGGGAACATAAACAAATTACTCTGGCAATGTACAATAATGTGTAAAAAACCTATTTAACTTGAAACTACACTGGAAAGAAAATTCTGAGCTTTCAGCTCTGGTGTAGAGCCTTCTTTACAATGGATTGAACATGTCCTGTGGCTGGTGACTTGATCAGTCTGGTCCATATCACTGGAGGTTTTTGCCTGCCCCATATGGGCTATGGGCTCTGATATACATGTAAATGGCCTCTTTTATCCCCCCTGGTGGACCAGTCAGGATCTCCATCCAAAATCTGCATAATCAATGTTGACATCAAACTAACCAGAAAAAAAAAAATTAAAACAAAATACCTGAAATTTGGGTTAGTTTTCACTGTCGTTTACTGGCCTGGAGCTCTGATGAGCCTGCCCAAACCTAAGGGTGGATTCCCTTGCAGTATACATAACCTATATAGTCTGTGAATATGCTCGTTTCAATTTTTCAGTTTTAAGTGTCAAACAAGCAAATGATATTGCATTTGATTGGGTGCTAAGGGACTCGAAAGTGGTTAAGCAATGTTATTTTCACTTGCCTTTTGTCTAACACTACAGGGACGTCGTCAGAATGTCTTGGGATAGCTATATTGATAACCTTATCGCACAAACTAAAGATGCTTCAGGAACTGCTCATTCTGACAAAGCCTGTATAATTGGATTGGATGGTGGGGCTCCATGGACAACTGCTGGTCATGCATTTGCATTAAAGGTAAGAACAATTCTCTCAGCTATGGAATATGAATGTAAGTAGGAGTGATTGCTGCATTGTTTAATAAAGGTTGGATGCCCATTGCAGTGTCCAGGAGCTTTTACCAAGGCATACTGAGTGCTGCTCCCATGCCCTACATCCTTGAGTGTGTATGCCGTGGTGGCCATCCTACATGTATTATTAGGCCCCCCCCCCCCTCCAACCCAGTTTAAGAGGTAACTTGGACTCTCCCTCCTGACATGAGAAAGAAACAAAAGTGCTGACATACATTTAATAATCGCTAATTACCTTCAAAGCTTTTGCATTTCTTCTTCATGACCTCAGACTATTTCATTTTTAGTCTTGAAACCTTTCTAAATGTCATATTTTCTTATACATGTACTTTTTTAGTAAACCTCAACCACAATAGCTTGCAACAGTTAGCAGACTGTGCCGATTTTGCCTTAAACAATGAGTTTTGATATCAAGTCTTGCAGGCAGCTGTTATTTCGATCGTTATGCAGAGTGTTGTGTGTTACCCAAGTAACAGCAGCTTAGGAGTCTATTGAACATGTATTGATGTATTAATTTATCGGGCATTATTCTTTCTTACCTGTAGTTGCAAGGATCAGAAGGAGCAAACATAGCGAAGTGCTTTAAGAGCAAAGATTTTACAGCTTTTCAGGCCGGTGGTGTATTTGCAGAGGGGATCAAGTATCAATATCTGAGAGAGGAAGAAGGGAAGTTAGTTCTTGCAAAGAAAAAAGAGCATGGAGCCATCACTATACAAGCCAGCAAGACAGCAATTGTCATTGCTCACACTACTGAAGGTTGCCAACAGGGCAATAGCAACAAAGGTGTAGCCGTAATTGCAGAGTACCTGGAAAGCTTGGGCATGTAACGGAAATTGTAAATTTTCTCAAAATATGTTGATAACCTTGGGGGGAGAGTGCTTCCTTTTGAGCCACGTTACCAGTATTTCATCAAGTCCTTGCTGTAGATGAGATTTATAGTGTGTGAAGCAATGTGTTTTGTTAAAGCCTTTTCCTAGTTTTCGTATTGTGATGATAGCAAAATGTGGAACAAGTTATGAAACTGTTTTATTATCTTGTTTTAAATAAGCAAATCAACCGTTTCATGATCTTTTGCATTTGGTTATAGCTTAAACAGCGACTTCCAATTGAAATGAATAAACTTAATTCTTCATCTTTGGGCAGCTCTTGTTAATTCTTTAGTCTGCTGAACAGTAGCCTCCCAGGCAGGCGTTTTTAGGGGAGCTCGTATTTCTTTCCTCCCCTAAAAACGCCTGCGTGGGAGGCTAGCCGAACAGCAGATGGAACTTGCCTCGCCGTCCACCCTCGCCCACCTCGGCCAACCAGTCGATTATACAGTTGACTCCCGATACCTCGAACCAAAGTCGATTTCCAATGGATTTCCTTTGTAGATTTACTGTAATTTTACCCTTCGATAACATCGAACCTCCCACTAACTCGAGGTAATATTTGTTTCCCCTCAGATGATTTTTATATAATTTTACCTTGTAGTAAAGTCCGAAACATTGAATTTATTTCAAAACAACCACTTCAGTTTTTTTTGTCACTCCAGTTGAAATTCAGAGTTCATCCTTGAAAATAAAACCAAGCTTTGCATTCCCTCCTCATCCATGTGCTTATTTCCTTATTTCCGGTTATTTACTTCGAACTCCCGATAACTCGAACTTTTTTTCTATTTCCCAAGAAGTTTCGAGTTATCGTGAGTCAACTGTACACATTTCCGGATTCTCGTGTGGCTCACTTAAGGTCCCGTTTTATTTGTGTGACAAAAAGAAATTGTCTCGGGTAGAAAGGTCACTCGCCCACCCGAGCTACCCTTAGCCTGCGTAGCAAGCGTTTCTTCGTGCCATATTTTTCCGCCCGTTTAGACTTTCCCTTGCCCCCACTATCTGCCCCTGGGTCTCCGAGGATGGAGCAAAGTACGAGGAACGAGAGTAGGGGGACCGCGCGAAAATGGCTCTCGTTCCACTTTTCGCGCTGCCAAATCCGAGAATCCCGTAGAGGAATCGCTTGCCACACAGGCAAGCAGCGCCGAAATCCTTGTTCTGGGCCCCCGACGGACTCGATGGATTAGCGGAAGTGCACTTCGAATTTCCTTTCATCTTGATTGGCAAATCGACAATGCCATTTTTTACAGGCTAATTATGGTGATGGCCCGGAACAAGAATTTCGACGCTGTTTCGCAGACGGACTTAACCAAAGTTTAGTTTCTTCTTTATCGCAGGCTAAGCTACCTTGTGCGAGCCATTTTTTCTTACATCTCCCTACAAAATTTGTCGAACGATGAACATGAGAAACAACACGTTTGCACGGCTAGAATAGTCACCCTTCTATGGGGTAGCTGGATCAACTTTTCTCCATGTAAACATTCAGGTTTTTACTGTTTACCAGTGTTTCAAAGCAAAAATTACCGTTTTTCCATTGATGATCTCTTTTCAGGGCTTACGCGTAGCTTTTTTTAATGTAATTGTCATCGACACATTACAGCGGTTACCACTAACACGCGCCCTCAAAAGGTTTTTTCTTCGGTTGAAACCTGCGGTTTGGTGGACGTAAATCAACCGTTACCATGGTTTTCACGCGTTGGCCAGGAGAAGATTCTTTCCCCGTTTCTGTTTTGTGCTACAGGATTTGACACCGCCTCATGTAAAGATTAAAAGGAGTACGAATTTGTGGAGTGTTTTTCGGAGGAAACTTAAATTATCGACTTATTTAAACACTGTAAGTTACAGCCACATAAGCTTTCTCAACACACGCTGGGAACTCGTCTGAGTTCTTGCCAGTTCAGGATTCTATGGAGTATTCGATAACATGAAGAATGATAACTAGATCTGCAGGTTACAACATTCATTTTCGAAAACAGGCTCCGTTCAGAGGAAACCTTTGTCCCTTGTCGGTGTGATATCTTCCGTTTCAGGCCCGTGGCAAGCATAAAATGATTGGGGGGGCTGAGCGGGTGGCCCACATTAACTCCCCCGCTTCGGTCCCTCGGTTAAAGCATACTTCTTGGTACATGTCAGTTCACTACATTTGTCTACAATACCTTTTGTTCTTGTCTCTAATTTTCCGTTTGTGTTGACTTTGAGGAAATTGAGAACTTGTTTGGGATATCATTCGCGGAAAATTTGCCAAACAAGTGCTTTCGGTTTTCTTTCTCCCCAACGAAGTCATTAGCTATCACTGACGTCAAATTCTGAAGTGTCAAACCCCTCTGCTGTCTGTGGTAAAAGCAAGCGTTGTCCTTTTCACTTGAAAGATATTTTAAAGCTGTTGGTTGTTTTTTGGCAGAGAAAAAATACGATTTCGTTCATTTACACAATTCTAGATTGCACAGAAGAACAACAGTACATAATCTTACTATGATCGACAATAATTTGAAATTTTAGCTTCCATTGACAGCTGTCCATTTTAGTAGAAAAATTCCACTTTTGCAGCAGAATTTAATTCAAGTCTGAAAATTTCTGGGAGGGCTTGAGCCCCCCCCCTGCCCCTCCCCCTGCTACGGGCCTGCGTTTCTTGAATTTATATGGTCCTTGGCAATTCGTCCACGGCTCCCGTGTTTTCATACAATCAAATAAATAAACAACCTGAAAACCTTTACGTTTACTATAGAGAGTATTTCGGCTATTTTACTCAGCTCGCAGAGAACTCGTTGTTTTGAAAATGTAATCCTTCATCTTAATCAAATAAATGCACAGAGAACTTGGCATGAACACCTTGTTTTTTATTGAAAATGTAATCCACAGGCAACGAACGGTTTCATCTTAATCAAATTAATTTTGTTTTAAATTTCTTTTTACAACGCCGTCGTTTACATTTTGCTATAATAGAAGAAATTATTTTTGTAAATTACAAAGCCGATCTCCGCCCTTTATTTATCGTAGGTAGTAGTCGACAAAAAATATTAGCAAGGACTGTGCTATCAGTTTGGTGTCGTCACGCAACGTTTTTTGTGGGGAGGAGCGTTGCGTGACGAAAAAACGGCCTGATCGTAGGTAGTAGATAGTAGTTCAAGAATCGTTAGTCCCACAAATTTATTCAGAAAGGACTGTGCTACGAGGAAAACCTTCTCTGTCAGAGCACGTGAGAAAACCATGGAAACAGTTGATTGACATCCACGAAAACTCAGGTTTCAACCACAGAGAAAAACCATTCAAGGGCGCGTGTTAGTGGTAACCGCTGTAATAAACTTGCGGTTATCTTGTTGTTTATCACACAATTTTTATGATATGGCTAGTATAGTACGCGCGCTCTGATTGGCTGTTTTCTTGTAATGAGCGGGCAGTACTAACTAGGTGTCCAAAACATATACAATCTGTGTTTAACTTGATAGTGGACATCCTTACAGACATGTATATTATGGTCAATTGACAGCTGTCAAAAAGGGCGTACGCTGACCAATGTCACCTGACTGTTTTGGGGGCTCAAGTGTACAATTCATTGAGGTGACGTGTTCCTTAAAGTGCCCATCACCTAAAATTTTTGATTTTCATATCTGAAACTACACCTTATCAAAATAACTTCTGCGAAAAAATTTTGCGATTTGAACCAGACGATTTGTTTAGAATTTTTTAAAAACGTTCAAATTTGCCGCCATTTTGACACACCATTCGTCTTAGTCTTCTCTCGGACTATGACGTACTTTAAGGAACACGTGACCTTATCGACAGGAAAACATTAAGAGTTCTGATAGGTTTTTCTTTTTCAGAAAAACTTTTTTCTTACGAAGACATTGTGATTCAATCCTTACTTGAAATTTATCTTTTTTGTGTACAGCTGGTGAAGGCAAGGTAATGCGAGTTCCTTAATTTACGTCACATGACGTCATATGCGAGCTTGCTAGTTTGCATGATCAGCGGCGCGAGTGTACCGCAAAAATGTAGACTTCAAAAATTGGTAAAAAAATCGCGTTTTGTTCAAACCGCATAATTTTTCGCAGAAGTTATTTTAATAAGGTATAGTTTCAAACTGAAGAAAATAAAAAATTTTAGGTGATGGGCACTTTAAAGTTATCCCCTGGCGAGTTGTTGGTTTTAGTTGATCGCAGGCTCAGGTCAATAAAGAAAAGGCCATATAATGAATAACTTATAAATCTCGTCCGTTTGGTCATTACAGGGAAATCTCAGACCTCATCCTTGAAGTATTGACCTCGCTATCCCTCGGTCAATACATCAAGGCCTCGGTCGGAAATTTCCCTGTAATGACCTCACTGTCGGTTTATAAGTAGTATGTAGTATTAGTGGAACCTGTCCCATTGTTCTGTCTTGATTCACCGTAATGTGTTCATGCTCTAAGCTTCCTCCATTATGTTCTAATTAAAAGACAGCGGTTGAAGTTCACTCGGTGTTTAGTTTGAACGCAACCCACCCAACCCAGGAAAGGTTGGCCACACCACCGGGGTCTACATCTCCTACTCTTTTCGACCAGTGGTGTGGGTTCTTTTCCGTCCGACAAGAACAAGATAAGTGAAAGTGCTGTGAGACGGGACCTACGGTTTTCGTCCTTTCCGAAAAGACCAAAAACTCTAACCGTTTGCAGATGTCATTACAGAGGCAACACTTTCTTCTCATTTTTATTTTAAGTCTCAGTTATTTAAAGACCCTGAGTGTTGGTCCGGCCAGGGTTTGAACCCGCGAACTCCCGCTCAGCAGACCGGTGGAACAGGCGAGAAGACGGTCACAACAGCGTTCCACGTCCTGTCTTCTACAGACCTCTAATGGACATCTCTATCATGATACTATCTCTGCCACTGCTTGAGTTGTATATACACTTGTTTGCAAAGAAGCAAGCTCTTCATTTCGACTGAAGAGGGAAGTGTGCCGCGAGAGAATGTGCGCGCGCCGAAATGGAGGGGAGAAAGGAATGCTGGCAACGGATCAAACATGATTTCTAGCAACGCTCAATGAAGACCGCTTTCTGTTTCTGTGAGAGATCACGTACTGCCGAATGTGTGGGTGTTTTCAAAGGTTTAATTTAGAAGTCTTAAGCTCGCACATTGGAACTGAAAACTTAACCGTCAAAGCAGAAGGCTGGGTAATGTAGAAGTTGTCAGTAAACTATCACGATAATGAAACTAACCGATAGGGACGAGTTTCCCCACAGTGAAAACAGAATCTGTTTCTAACATTTAGCTACACTTAACGAGTCACACAAGCACTTATTGAAATGTAGCGGCCGACGAAAAATTGTATTTAACTTTTCGAACCGGTCTTGCAGTTGAAAGAACACTGAGGAACTTCATACTTGCGGGCGTTTAGGGCTGAAACGTCATCATTACTAAACGTGTGGCCCCTGCTCAACGAGATTTTTTCTGGTATACTCCAAACTGCATACTTTACCCATAAGTACTATCCATCCTTTATTATAGACGCACAAGCTACGAGGATGCCTCCCTCTGCTGGGGCGCAATTTAATAACTTGTTATAATGAAGTACTGGATCTTGCCCTGAGCGATCATTCGGAGTGTCAGTATGCATTTTTTCCAAGAGCAAAGCGGAAGTAATCAGGGATGGATTTTACCATAGCTGCTCAGAGATATAGTGCAATGTAGCACTAACATAAAAAAAGCAAGCGAACAAACAAACAACAACGAACACCAATAAAACGAAATTTAGATCGCCTTTTAAAAAAGAGCAGATTATCTATAATGACGTTTTAGCAGTTTTAGTTTTTTGTTCTCACACTCTTACATAACATAATTCGTTGTAATTCGTATAATCCAATATACATGTTTCCTAATGAAAACCAACCTTGCAGTGAAGCACTTAGTGCTTCACCAACTTTAGGTGGATACTACCATCATTTTAAAACTATTACCGTAAACTTGCTCTTTTTCGACCCCCTCTAGTAATAGGCCCATGTAAACAAAAAAAACATATCTATAAGCCCCAATGCAGCTTGTATTCAGTCTTCGCGTGATTAAAAAATTAAATAGTTCAGATTTTTTTGGAACAACACATCCACGAACAAACTTAACTGCAGTGGTGAAGAAGGCAAAAATCAAGGTCTTATAATCTTCCTTCTAACTCCGAACTCCTCTTTAACAACAACGTCTGGATCCCAAGATTAGGAGTTGCGTTCTCCTAGCGTCTAACGCAGTAATGTGACTCTTCTTACTTATCTTTCTTACACCTTGCGGACCCTCGGCCTTTATAAGCATTCATCAGACAAAAGCCCAGTCTAACCTAGATTAAAACTTGTTCCCAAGGCCTTTTTAGTTGAGTGAGAACGAGGTTAACTTGGACCGTGGTTGAATATTGGTTAAATGTATACAAGAAGTGCGTTTGTTCATGAGATCTGTAAATTTGAAGCGGATAATTTCTGAGAAATTTCTTTTTGGTTACAGTTTTCAATGCTGAGATATTAGGGTTGGATACTGAATCGATAATAACGCTGAACATGTTTTAGTTAAAATTAAAATTAGAAAAAAAAAAGAGAAAAACATGAAAAACTATCTTGATACAACCGGCCTTGTTTTGGCGTCACTACTTGTGGCCGGTAGTCTACCTGGAAAAGATTCAGAAATTGGATTAAAACTCCACAAAGACTGAATCTGTTGTTAGATCATCAATTCGGATCTCGAAGGATCTCTTCCAGGTCTTTTACCACGGCATCCATCGAGGGACGTTTTTCGGGATCACTTGCCCAGCAACGCTCCATAAGTTCCCAACAATTCTGAGGAAATATATCCAGCCTCTCCGGGGTCCTGTTTTCGACGGCGTTTAACATGAGCATCACCAAAGGGAGAAAATGTTTGTGCACGTTTTTCGGTTGGTTGCCTTTACCCTCGCACACTCTCCATAACAACATGCCGAACGCATAAACGTCGACGGTTTTGTCGTACTGTTGTTTGATCATCTCTGGTGCCATATTTATAGGTGTCCCTACAAGCGAGTTAGAAGCGAGACCTTCCGGCTTGCAAAGGCCCATGTCTGTCAACTTTGCCCTGTTGGAATTATCCAACTGAAAAAAGAGCAAAATGAACAGGTAGTTAGTCCAAAAACCCTGAATTATTCCACTTTTTTATATGGCTAAGTACAATGGTATGCGCGCTTCGGATAGGCTGCTGAGCGGGCAAGATTTTCTTGTCATGACCGGGCGTTATGAAAATTTTTTCCGGGCTCAGCGTCTATTTTGAGTTGTGAGTAAAAGCTACGAGCGCGAGGGTGAAAACAACAAAAAATACCGACAAAAAATAAAACTATCTTTTCATAAACTGAAAGAAAAATACGTGCAAACCGATCCTTCTTTGAGCGACGGAGAGAGCCGCAGCGAGAACGAGATTTTATTTGTATTCTTTTTAAGAATAGCACCAAACAGGACATATACTAAATAGTTTATTAACCACGTCAATTCGGTCATTACAGGGAAATCTCAGAGTGGTATATAATCTTACTGTATCTGCTTTTTAAAATATTTTATTGCTCCACTCACCAAGACATTCTGCACTTTGACATCTCGATGGATCATGTCTTCTGCGTGCAGATACTGTAAGGCTTTGGCGACGTCAAGAGCAATTTGAAGTCTATCCCTGAAAGATGAGATGGTGGGCAGACCTACTTGGAGATCACACACCATTCGTTCCGAGACAATTGATACAGAAAATCCACGTGCTGGATTGACCTCCGCGATGCTGCAAATTATGGGCAGAATGTTCTGATGTCGCAAAGACCTGCGAATTAATCAGAGGTGTTTCAAGACACGCGTATCTAAAAATTACAACGTCATCTTGGGTAGCTTTCACTTCTTTTATTATCAGGAGAATCTTACGTAGTTTTTCTCACTGATACAACGCGTGGACGGAAAAATATGAGAGGAAAATTATAATGCCCATGACATAGAGACGGAAGTGAACTCAAATGCGAGGCAAAAAGTTGATGTCAGTTACCTGCAAGGAGAAAGTCAGTGAAAATTTTTTTTTGCGTTGACAGCTAAAGTGGCCTCCAACCAGAAAATACAGAGAAAAGCGGATCGATGAGGGAAGATGAGGTCGGCGCCATTTAGACGCACACAGCGTGTGCAGAAAAGCGTAATAATATTTATTGCTTCTATTGCGCATTTTATCATTAAAAGATATGATCAAATTTGTTTTACCTGGTGTTGTGCAATTCCAGGGTCAAATCCTTAAGTACTTCTTCTCTAGCAACTTTTACCACCTTTACTACACAAGGCTTTCCCTCAGGTGTCTTTATGTTATTGCAAGCGAACACACTTCCTTGAGCACCATCGCCAATGAGATCACCGGTACTGGGTGAACCAAACTTGAACTTATCCATGACACCATATGCCAGCATCTCTAAGAGGGCAAGGTCTGGAGCAAATTCGAGAATCTTTTCCCTCTGTTCATCTTTGATGGTCTCTCCCCGTTGAAACAGGCCTTGAACTTTCTTGATTTCTGCAACAAACTCATCATGGCACGACGTAAAGTGAAGGTTTAAGCTCCTGATGATTTCCTCAGACATCTTGGTTGGATCCACTTTCTCGAGAACGCCTGCAGCAACATCCTTCTTCCACTCAGGGGATCCCACGCGGACCTTGCCCTTAACGGTGTTGATGATGGTCTCAATTGGTGAACATCCAAAGTCATACAGCCATGTGGCAAGTGATTTAATAAATCGAGCCACCAGTCCGCCTCGTTTTGCAAAGGAGATGTCAGCTTCATACGAAGACAGAAGACTTCTACCTAAGGCTAGAGCTGCTGATGGGAATTCTTCTCCTGAGGCTATCTCTTCTTCAATTCCTTCGAGGCGTTCTTTAATTTGGGCCACGAACACGTCTCTTGAGCGAAACATCATGTTTAACTTTTCTTTGATTTCCCCTTGTAGCTTGTTGACCACCATTCTTTGTAGCTGGTCTTTACAGTGTGCCACGGCGGCTTTCTCAGAAACAAAACCATCACGTGGAATTTGGTATTCCGTCAGAGCGTACTCAAATTTTTCTGCTTCCTGAAGAATTCCCTCTCGAGCGTCATTGAAACCTTCAGATAACAACTCCTTAATTTCAATAGATCTCTTCTCCAGACTCTGTATGATGTTGTTGTGGACTTCCTGTTCCTCTCTAAGGAGAGTCTCTAGGGTCTTCATCATCAACTTCTGTCCCTTTTTCAGCAAATTGGCCTTCTGGATGAAAAAGTCCAAACACCTTGACAGGACACGGATAAGAACTTGGCATATCTTCTCAACTCTTTCACGCAACGACTCCTCCGCAAACTTCTTCAAGCTGTTTTGAAACCTTTCGAAGGCGTCGATGTATCCTTTAAACTCACCGGTTGGCGCGTTTGGGTTGTTCTTCTTCATCTCATGGTACCTCTGAAGCCTCCAGGCAGAGAGGCCGTGGAATCGGTCGTTTTCATTCATACACCTTATCGGGCTACTCTCTTCTGAGAAATAGCCGTGCTGAACAAGGCGCTGGTACACACGTGCTTTTTTTCTTTCCTGTGCTTGGGCTTCTTGTTCTAAACGGCGTGCAGAAGCACTGTGATCTGGCTCTTCGTCCTCGTCTGAAGACTGTGCACGATCTTCAGGCTCCAGCTTACTCACCACAAAGAAAATTTGCAAATCAGGTCTTCTAGATGTCATGTCACTTAACACTTCCCTGTCCTACAAATGAAACACGACGTCTTAGCAGTTAAGTACGTAAAACAGGAAGTGGGTGAGTAGGTAACTAAGTAGCTTAGTGAGTGAGTGATTGAGTGAATAATGAAAGTAAAAGAGCACGTAAGTAATTTAGTGAGTGTGGGTATTGTATTGCCGGTATTGCATTGTAATGTTTTTTATTGCATTGTATTGAATTAAATTGTATTGAATAACTTAATTTTTCTACAGTAAAATAATTATTAGGCAACAAGGTTTAAAAAATTAATTTATTAAATTAAAGCTAATCAGTAACAATTCTAAGAACAGTAATAACAATGGTAAATAACACATTTTTTGCATCAAATGAAACTCGGAAAAAAATCCCAGCCCAAGTATAGATTCGAACTCACGACCCTCCGTGATCTAGCGTTCTACTTCTTCAAACGAGACTAACAGTGGTAATGTTAATAATAAAAATGCAAGGTGCCTACTTTCCATGAATGCCGTGCAAAATGGTTATCGTCTATTTTCTAATAGAAATTACTACAGCCGGATTTCAGAGGAGGAAAGAGTTCGCTCTTGGCACAGTTCCACAGATAGACTATTCCACAACACCGAACGTCTATAACTAAATCCGCTTTTGACGTAATTGGTACGAGGGCAGTGGAGTAGCTACAATTGTAGCTTGCCCTTGGAATCCCTAAGAAAATAGCTAAAGATTTCATTGCGAGTTAACATGGAATGTAATGTTTATAGTGAGTGAATGAGTGCGGATTGTGTCAGTGGGTGGTGAATGGCTAACTAAACAAAATCTATGGTCGATACGCATAATCAGTCTAAAAATGAATCTAAGTCATCAAGTTCTGATAACAACATTTTACTCTGACTAATGCCAGTTCAGTTGTCCGCGTCGCAGCCGTAATTTAATTAACCTCGGTAAGTAACATCTGCGAAGCAACGCCGATATCTCAAGTGGTTTAAGGCGTGGGGCTCACTAAGGCGTTTACTTGTGGAAAATGAATTATTGGCTATAACCTTGTCACAGATGATGGCGCTGAATCAAAATTTGGCACACATAAAGAACTCATCGTCCTTAACATTTTCAACTATAAACATTGCGTTAATAAGTCACGTGATATGTCGGGTGACGATTTGCTAAAAATCGTAAATTATTGACCAATTGGTGGCCGGTTTTAGGGAAAGAAATCGGGAAAAAACATTTTTCTAATTCATATAAGACATTTCTAACACTTCACGTTTCGAATGACCGTCCATTGCACTTCAATAAAAAATTAAGAGGGAAAACATCACTTTAAATGCCCAAATTTAACCTTGAATTATTTAAAACGTTAATTTTAAACTTCGCGTACATTCATTCCAAACGTAGAAAGTTTCGTATGTTGATCCTCTTTCAGAGACACCAATTTCTTTATCGAAACAAAGTAAATTCGCCACCAATTTCCTTCATTTTCAATTTTTGGTCACGTGGCATGTCACATGACCATAACTAAAGGCTAAAGCACAAGAAAACCTCCAGATTTACTTTTGGAGAAAAGCTCATTTTGTTCTAGGTCTCCTAGCGAGAGATATTGCCAATTATTCATATGCTCAAAACACATCTTTGACCCAGGCCTTATAAACCCCTTGAGATCCTTGTTCTGGTGGCCCTCAACGGACTCGATGAATTACCGGAAGCGCGTTTCGAAATTCCTTTTATCTTGACAGGCAAATTGACAATGGCATTAAACAGGCCAATCATGGCGCCGACTGGTACACAGTTGGGGGCCCAGACAAGTATTTCGGCGCTGTTTCGCAGACGGACTTAACCAGAGTTAGTTTCGTCGGTGGCACGTCAGGCTATGGTGTCAGTGGAGATACATCAATTTGCCTTTCTTCAAGGAAACGGTAGAGGTAAGAGCAGTCCGCACCCTAAAAACAAACCTTTTTCAATTTGTCTTGAAACGATATGCTAGCCTGTGCCTTGCTGTGCTGCAGTTGTAATTTAATCCCGGTTACTTACGTCTTCGAATCAACGCCAATATCCTTGTTCTGGGCCCTCGGCGGAGTCAACGAATTACTTGAAATGTGTTTCGAATTTCTCTTCAACCTAATTCGAAAATCGACAATGGCTTTTTTAACAGGCCAATCATAGCGCATACTCAAATCCTGGTACACAGGTGAGCGCCTAGAACAAGGTCTTCGGTGCTGTATTCCAGTTGTTCCACAGGGAGCCCGCACAATCTGTTTGTGTAGCCGATTGTTATTTTATAGTAAATGTTCTGGATTTACCGTTTGCCTCACCTACAGCGATATGTCGCTAACTATGTATATAAATCAATGATAAATGAACGTTGAATTACCTTACCTGTGGTATATAGTCGTCCTTTTACCTCAAAAGCGGTTTTTTGAGCGATTTTGAAGGAGTTTGAATTCGCCGTTGACTGTTCCTTATAATATTATAAGGAACAGTCAAGGGCAAAATCAAACTCCTTCAAAATCGCTCAAAAAACCGCTTTTGAGGTAAAACGACGACTATATACCACAGGTAAGGTAATTCAACGTCCATTTATCATTGATTTATATACATAGTTAGCGATATATCGCTATAGGTGAAGCAAACGGTAAATCCAGTACATTTACTATAAAATAACAAGCGGCTACACAAACAGATTGTATGGGCTTCCTGTGCTTGTTCGAAAGCCGATTAGCGCTAACGCTGGGTTAAATTTTAACCCAGGTTTTTTTTTTCTTTTGTTCAAGACCATTTTCAGGATAATCTTCTCGATTCTTTTTAGACCATCAAATCATCAAATTGTGGACAAAAAGAATAAAACTGAATTTGCTTTTTAAGCTTTCAGATCTGAATTGATTGAAATTTTGCATTAACCCTGGGCAGAAACTCATAAGGGGTTGAAACGTGTAACTCTCATATGTTTGCTTTGTCCGATGCTCGTGATTATTCATTTTCGAAAGTACCATATTTGGAACGAGAAGAAGAGATAACTGACCGATCAAATTTCGTAAACAACGTGATATAATTTTCCTTCAGGTTCCCGCGCCCGCTTAAAAAAATGGCCGACAAACGGGGGAAAAACTCCCGAAAGCCGAGAAAGCTTTCAAAGGTTGAAACCAGGAATATTACCGAAACACTGAGCAGGATATTATTGCCTTAAATTACCACCCGGGCCAAACGTAACATTATGAAACCCATTGACGGCCTCGCAACTTCTTGAAGTTGTCACTTGAAAAAACGATGCCTCGTTGACCCTCTGCACAGTAAACTTATACTGCTAATAGGCTTTTAAAATTCTTATTACTGGGCTGCCCGGAAAGCACAGTCATAAAATGGGTTTTCGGTCGTCGGTGTCGCAAAGTGGTCATCCGGGGGAGGGAAAACACGAGGGTCTGTACGTAGAAACGATGTTCTCACAAATGGTTTCATAGGGTTTTCTCTTGCATGAACCCTTGCACGGATACTTTTTGTACCTTGTCTGCGCTCCCCCTGAAAAACTCACAAGGCGTTGCGAACCTGAAGAAGGCTATTTGCGTTGTTCAAAGCTATTCGACCATGGGAGTAACTCTATAATTTTTTTATTGTTCGAGTTTAAGTCAGTTAGATGATGTTGGCGCTGGGAAACTCAGAGAAATGCTCGCGTTGCATTCAAACCGACACGCCGTTCACGGTAGGTTCACACTAAAAGACAGAAAAGATGACTGTGAGCGTCAGGTTTGGAACGCCGTGGCTGCTTCGTGAACTATCGATCGATGTAGTACATGAGCAATTAAGAAGCACAATTTATGAGCAAACTATTTCACCAGTTGACGACACTATGGCTGAAGACTTGATTGTAAGCCGTCATAGTCAGTGAAGCGAACAACTCAGTTGCCGATGAATGGCAGATGAATCCTGATGTGAGGCACGTCCATAAGCGAGGGACGTGACAACTTTGCCATGTTAGAAGACTGGATTTTCCTTTAAATATTTCCTTCTATTTAATGCAACACACGCCACTTTGGAGATCTAAATTTCGGATACTGAGGATAAAGAAGACACGGACAAAAGTAGGAACTCTGAGAATTTCGCACAAAAGTTTAAAGCTTCTCCGGGACATCCCATCCGGGAGCTTCACAGAGAGCGACTTGAGGAAAATAGGAGCTATTTCTATTGACAAGGTTTGGTGACTGACAAAGGTTTGGTGACTGAGTCACAAAATGACCCACAAATGGTGTAATCATTTACCATTATGTCTAAAGACTTCTAAATATTAACTTTTCTTGACCTTTATGTCTTACTGTGTTTTGTTTTGCGTATTGTATCGAAAGGAAAGCGCAAACAACCGTACCGCAATACCGTAAACAATCATATTTCACCGAATACCGTCAGCCAAAATAGAGCATACAAAGTTTGTATCCCACGTCGAGGTTTCAGGGGTCTGCTTTTGTTTGTATCTGTATCTTGCTAAGCTTTTGTCATTAAATTTGTACAAGATCTTGTGATCACAATTCTGTGTTTTCGCCCATTCAGCAAGCACGCTATATTGATGTCAGCATTAGCGAGTTTCAGAAACATGCCTTTGAAAATTTTCAGCTCTCGTGATGTTTCTTGATATTTCTTTTACCATTTTATGGAGATGTAAACTGAAGTCACCGCAAAATGGAAACTTAAAAAAGCGTATAATCCATTTATCTCGAAACATAACACACATGACTTATACGACCTTTATTTTCGTAAAGGTGTTTTGAATACGAACGAACACAGTCAATGTGAGGGGCAAAAACAGCATTAATATAAATGAACCATAGGATTTTAACTAATATAAGGGTCAATTATTGTGCATTGAGATGAATCGCTTGAAAAGAGAGACTTCGCTTGAAGATGTGATCAGAAGTAAACAAAGGCATAATAGTGCGTCACGTTCAGTCTTTTTAATATCCAAGGAGTCACTGTGAAAAGTGTTTCCCAGTGTTGTTTAGCTGGCACAAAAACCTCGGACGAGTTATAAAGCGGCATAGTTTCCATGAAGAAAAGTTAGTCTTGGGTGAGACAAACAGAACTGGAGCGAATTTTTAACTCACATCGGTATCAGGTAAAAAATATGTTATCGATCGTTTCTTCTATTTACATTGTTTGAAGGGCGTGCTGGTGAACGCAACATGCGAGCGAGAAATCTTTAAACTTTTTTAGGTCTCAAAATGCAAAGGATTTTATTCCTTTAAGTTAGAGAAAAATACCGTGAGGAAAATCTTAAAACTGAATACTTTTCATCTTGTGGAAAAATAGTGCGTTTTCATGTAGACTGTGGACCGCAAATTAGGATCGCACTTTTCACAAACATGCGAATTCTGGGGTGCTTACCATTTGACGGAAAATTTCGGAAATTCCAGATGGAAGGTAAATGGTAAGGTCACTTTTCGGAAATTCCAACCGAAAATTGAGGAGTACGTATTGAGGTAGTCCTTTCATTCCGGTTGGTACGAACCAAACGGAATGTTGCTTACCATTAACCAATTTCTCAGTTCCTTCTCAGTTCCAGACTCACGCGACACAAATTTACCCTTCTTTTGGATTCCAACCGTAACGGATATGGCATTTCTACGGTAAACTGGCAAATCGCTTACCATTATGCTTTCGACACCCTAACCGGATTTTTCTGTCAAATAGTAAGCACCTCTGGAGTTCAGAACCCAACCGACGATTGCGTTTTTCGCTGCTGTCAATCATCTTAACGGACCTCTTAGGAAACAAAACTTTACTTCACGGGTTCAAAAGGTCATGGTTTGTGATTTGTGGATTTCGATCCGTTTTGTGTGTTTCTCTGTTTCAAGGTTCGTTGCTTGTGATCGTAATTATAATTGACGGCAGCGATAAACACAATTGTGAAGTGAAGGTGGCTTTTGAACTTTAGAGTTCGCATGTTTATGAAAAGCGAAGTAAAGTCTCCGTGCAGTCAGTTGGGCCCCTGGATCAGGCGGGATCAATGGGCAGTTAACTGTCTGTTTTAGTATACTTCTGGTTTTCATACAATACAATATTTCTGTCTAGTGTAAATCAGCTCAGTCTGTCGCATTTTATGCTCGTAGAAGGACAACAATTTTTGGAATTTCCGGTTACGTCAAATTAGTCACGTTATACTGTCACGCTATATTTTGGGGCACAGAGGGATTGGGGGAGGGGTGCGTGGAAATAATGCAAATTGTTTCCTGTTTAGAATTAATGGCTAACTTGTTTATTTTTATTCATAATGGTGGAATTTAAAAGTTATTATACAGCCCCTACTTAAAAATGGTACTCTTTTTTTTGCCAGTACGACAGTCTTTCAAAAGGGTACAATGTTCTGAATGAGTTTATGTTTCAGTCTCACATGAGATTCTGTTGCATGTAGCCTGCGTAGCAGGCGCTTGGAAGTAGTGGGCACAAGAAAAAACGGGCTCGCGCGCGCCCGTTCTCTCTTTCGCCCGCTACTTCCAAGCGCCTGCTACGCAGGCTAGTTGCATGCAATGGTTGCCGACAAGGTTTTATGGTAGCCTGAGTGTGTATAGCCGCCCCCTTCCCTCAGAAAAAATAGCTCCTTTGCAGCCCAGTTAAAAATCGCCTTTCGGCGATTCTTGTGTTAAAAGTCTAGAATAAACAGTGAAAAATATTTTCGAATAAAATTCATTAGCTGCGTATCGAAAAGTGTCAAAAACCTGAACCTGACATCTTCGCAAAAAGTGATGCTTGTAATGAATGCAAGAAGCATTTTTAAAGCTTAAATTAAACTTAGATGTTGTAGTCACGATCGTGTTTTGAGCTAATTTTATGAATGAACAAACTCAAAACAATAGACAGAGAAGCCGTTTCTTGAAAATTTTTATTCAAAGTCCAAAAAGTTAATCCTTTAAAGCAATTCGGAAAACACCATCTGGATCGTGGATCCGTTCACGCAAGTGAAATCGGCTAAACACGTGACAAAATTCAACACAAAATCCATCTCAAATCAGGGCACATTTTGTAACTTTTCTTTAGCGCCGAAGGGAAAAATTTATAAAACGTCTATGAAACATTTAAAAATACATAAATTCCCTTTCAAAAACGTAATTGTCTTGGCCATAGAGTGCAAAATGTACCTGAAAATTCAGCAAAAACTTCACTGACTTGGTTGCATTTCATAACAGACCATGGGCTCCGCCGTGAAGAAAACAAGGTTGAATACCTCGAAGGACGATCTCTTGATGAAAAGCTTCCCTTTCTCCACAAAAAGAAAGCTGAGCATTCTTTTGAACTTTCTCTTTCCATTTTTTGTCTTTTAACGGTGTATTTTTAACCCTGAAATGCAGAACTCTTGTCTTAAAACATCTGCATGGTGATCGCGCAGCAGCCATTTTGTTGAAAATGGATATCCGTCACTAAGGTTTTCAAATATGGTCAAAATGAATATTCACGAGCATTGAACGCGAGTTACACGTTTCAATCAGGGCGGATATTAAGGGGGATAAAGGTTAGGATAAAGGTTGGGCGGTGAAACGAGCGCGTCCGAGCAAAAAGGTGTGATGCAGAGGACTGGGACTCTGCTTAGAAATGTCGCTTGTTTTCCACTTCGGTCAAATTCTTCGGTCAGGGCTTGCGATGTGGTTTGTACATTAGACACTGCCGCTGTCACTGAATTATGTCGCCCCATGTAAGGTAATCCAAGAGAGTCTTGGATTCCGGATTCCACGCTGTGGATTCCGGATTCCATGCCTGTGGATTCCGGATTCCACATCCATGGATTCCGGATTCCATAAGTGGCTGGATTCCAGATTTCAAAATTCTATTTTCTGGTTTTCAACGTTTCCTTTGTACTTTGTTTTCACCAAAAAAGCTTGTTCTTTTTTTACCCGAAGTGTACATTGTCTTACCCGACAGGATTATGAATATAGGAGCGGTTTCTAAAGTCCACTGAGTCCACATCGTTGAAGAAATACTAACGAGGAAGGGCTATTCTTATTTTAATAATAACAACGGCGTCAACAATAACAAAAGAGGTACACATTGCCAAAATCAGTGCTTTTCAGGTTCAAACATAATTCGTCTCCGAATTGTTTAATTGCCACACAGAAATGTAAAACTTCAGTTACAGCTTACCAACAAATAGCGTGAAGATAGTCCAATTACTATACTACAAGCTACGCAGGCAACGGAAACGTTTATCTTAGAATAAACCGTGTCGTTCTCCGTCCTGATAAACTAACTCCCGGCAGTCTTATCGGGAGGGATACTTCTCCCTCATCCTCTGCAGTTGGTGGTGCAGTTTCATTCTCATTGTCATCATCGTCACCGTAGTCCCCATTAGCAATTCGACAGAGCCTGTTATCCTCCTCTGTTGTTAAAATGATGTCTCATCCATCGGAAGAAAAGTCGAGCACTCGGGTTAGAATGCACTTGGGGGAATTCCCATTACAGACATCACCGGAGAACTTAATAACAGTGTAACATAGCTATTTATCAATTTAGTTCTCGTACCATAGCTAAATGAGTATTTACCACTTACTTAATGCTATGCATTCTTATTAAAAAATAACTAACGTATTTGTGGCTATTCTTCCCGCAGCTGCATGTAGTTTACGCTCAATGAACTCTGATGTGTAGTCATTGAACTACTGGTGTGGTTATTGATCTGTTGTGTACATATTGAACTGCTGTGTCGTTATTGAACTAACAAAAAAGAAAATTGATGGATGTTTTATGAAAACATGAAAGGCCCCTAAGAACACTCGACTGCCTAAAAAGTGAGATGTGGAGAGGTTTTGGCCACGAAATCTTGGTTCGTGTAGAAGAACACGTTTTTGCGGAGCCGGGAACGATGTGAAGATGTCTGCAATGGAAATTCAGTTGACAAGTTCCTCAGACCTTTTCAAGCAATTTCCGGAGCTCTACGGTGAAGTAAATTCGATAATTTACTTTGGATTCACTTTGGTATGTTCGTTTCATTGATCAAAGGCTCTATTTAATTAGCATGTCTGTAAATGGTATGGAAACGCTGTCACCTTCGAATATAATTTTGATTAAAGAAACGCTTCAGTAAGTGTTCGCACAACCACCGCTTTTTGAGCAGAAAACACGAATAGAACAAACAACGACAACGCCACAGACCTTGAACTTTTCTTTTCTTTCTCCGCTTTTCTCTCTTTCTTTCTTGGACTCCTGTACATAAATTTGCAAGATAGTTAGCTCATAATTCTGAACATGATAGAAACAGACAGATATAGCTGCTCGAAGTTTTAGATTACTGTTTCACACATTCTGATCTATTCAAAACCTAGCCTCCCCGCAGACGTCCTTTGGGGTTCGTTTGTCACGCATTCATTTCTCCCCCACGGACGTCTGCTAAACAGAGCCGACTTTTACGTTCACCAATCACAGGCCGTTTACGGATTTTTGTAAAACGTAACCCGAGCCGCTTCTTAAGATTCGCACGATCAGTGCGGCTTTTGATCGAGTGTGCGAGAAATTTGTAATTAATACAGAGTTAAAAAAGTATCAGAGAGAAGCTATCCTGCAAATTTTATAGCGAAGACCGATGAGTTCATAAATTTGCCGACGGGATTTGGCAAATCCCTTATCTCTCAAGCTTTGCTGCTTGTTTTGCGACATATTGCGTGGAACTACTGGACATTACAGGGGCACCCAACGAGAATATAGTTCAAAACCACTTAAACATAGCATTGTTAAACGTATTTTAGTATTTAAACGGTAGATATAGGCATATTTCTATCCCCTAAAAAATTTTTCATCTGTTCGGATTTCCTAGCTGAAAGTCAAGTGATCCGAAAATTATAGGGATCAAAACTTACCTTTTCGAAAATTTTAGCCAGAAAAAAGGCTCCCGAAAATTCTAGGTGACCTTTTTAGGGTAAAAATCCGTTAAAAATAGGCAATTATACCACTTTTTAGATGTCCGAAAATCCTAGGAGAGGCAGGCAAGCAAGAAATTTTACAACAAATGTTCCGAAAATTCTAGATCTCAAATCGTCTTCCGAACAGATATTTTTCCGAAAATTGTCGTTGGGTGCCCCTGACATTACTGTTGATGTTGTTTCTCCCCTGGTAAATCTTGAAAGATCAAAATACAAAGCTGGAAAATATTGGTATTCCTGCTGTAACGCTCAGTGATATTAGCAAAGAGAATATGAGGGTTGTCGATAGAGGGAAGCCCGTGGGGGAGAAATGAATGCGTGACAAACGAACCCCAAAGGACGTCTGCGGGGAGGCTATTCTCGGTTTTCACTGTCACGCAATCAAAAATAAAATTGCAAACCATTCGATACAGAAAGTCCCGAATCTTGGAAATAAAAGAAGATAAATAAGCAAAAGACCTTGCCAAGAATCAGGTCTGTGCGATATTTCATATGCGAGATATTAGGAAAAACGTTTTACCCAAATTTATAAAGCTTTGTATGGAGGCGCCATGTTTGTGTCCCTTTGAGGGGCACAAATATGGCCGCCGGAAACCAACAGAAACATCTGTTTTTGAGTTTTCCTACTAATGCGTTAATTCATCGCTTAAAAAACTCATAAACTATTAAAGTGATATTTATTCTGACAGAAGGAATGTTTAGATAGCAAAATCTCCCAAAACTGGTAATGTTTTTAACCCACAGAAGAGCAGTCCCGGCCGCCAGCTAAATGCCGCGTCACGCAAAAGCCTAGAAATTCAAACGTCCTCTATCGCAAAACGAAGAACCCTTTCGAACCAAACCTCTGTTTAAATAAAGGTGTTTAGGTGCTGTAATAGCTCATGAAACTCAGAATCTCAGAAGAATCGATAGTTTCTTATTTTGAATTTTGATGACGTCATGTGAAAACCGAGAATTCAAAACCACGCCGCCAAAACATTTCCATCACAAAGTCACAAACACCGAATTTATAGACGTACGTACCTTTCCGACTCATGCTTTTTCTTGTGCTTCCCCATGCTGACAAAGATTGATAACGATCGATTGAGAAAAAAATTCAAAGTGATCTCTCGAGATGTCTGATTTCGACTGATTGAATCTGGACTGAATGAAAGACACCACGTCGACACCACGTGCAGCATGTCATTCTTTGAGTGACACTGATGACATGTGCCTGAAAGAAGCCAGTAACTGCAACCACCCCGACTACTGATACTACGGCCAAGAATAAGGATACTTTATATTATTATTCTTTTGACGTTACCTGAAATCCAAAAATTAGTTCCAATTGCGCCCAAACAGGAAAAGAATCTAAACCTCCGATTCCAAAAGCGCAACGGGGAAAAAGGTCGAAAGGCCCGGTCGAAAGGGTGTCTTATAAAGAGCTCGAAAGAGCGATAATATACAGTAATACTAGGGTATCTAAAAGATAGTAATGCTGCGGCACATTCTGTTGATACTGGCATTAGTTAGGCAGTGAGACTTAAAAAATCAAAAATGACATTGAATGTCCTATTTACATGTTGGAAAGTACTAGAATAATTACTATCAGTCTATAGAAAGAACTCATGGGAACGTTGTTTAGAAAATGATCAAGTGGTTATCATTTCTGGTTTTCCCAGAGCAAATTGTAGGAAATAATAGAAATTCAGATCGTTTATCCATATATTTAATATACGGTGCACGATATTTTCTCTGGAAACAAAATACTTTTCTTGCTGTTTGTTGCACTTTATTAAGTAACAGTTATTTAGCTATATATTTATAGAAAACAACAACACAAAAAACGGGAAAAAAAAGAAAAAAGGAATAAGTAACTCAGTAGAATTCGAACCCGGCACCTTCGAATCGACGCAACTACACTTAACCACTACACCAGAGAGGCTGATTACGTAGTCGTCAAGAAAAGTCTTTCATTTTATTCCTTGTCCATGAAACTTCCGCCGGCAAGATGATCGCCAGCCGCATTAACCGAGCTATTAACAGTGAAAAAACAATGAAACGCATATTCCATGGCAATAAATGAATGAAAGAACGTAATTATGCTTTTCAAAACGCCGATACACGTCCTCGTCTGCAAATTAGGACACAAAACATATGTTTTGTTATCTCGATTTCCGCTGTTATTTTGAAGCGAATGGTAAACATCACATCCTTTTCGGCTCATGCAGTTTCTTAAGAATAGCATTGCATGACATTTTCTCACTTTCACATCACCTTCTAGCAAGCTGGAATTGGTATATCCGCCGTGTTGCGGAGTCGAAGAGCAAAAAAGGTTCTTGAGTCAAAAAAGACTCTTGAATTGAAATCCAAACCCCAAGTTAACCATCGTACTCATCTGAAAGACTCCTGCGTGTCTTAAAATTTGGTAAGACTGCTAACCGTGCTGTAGAAAATTTGCCACGAAGAAAACTGAGCAGCGAACGATGCTCTCACCCACCGAACGTCCCCGTGTTTTTGAGTTGTTCGTGGCGCAATGCACTCTGGTTAAATGCAATGCATTGTGGTAAAAAGTGTGGTTAAATGCAATGCATTGTGGTAAAAAGTGATGAATTCGAGAATTCGTCGCCCCTTATATATTTCCTTTAAATCCTGATTATGTTGCTGCTCGCTCCCTTCGGTCGCTCCGCAGCAATGAATCACTCCCTGAGATTCTGTCACGTCATTATAATGTGACAATGACAAGGGATGTTCCTGCGAGTGAAACACGCGTGAACATGCCTGTTGCGCGTCCTTGCGACATGAGATTTTCACGCAACAGTCGCTAAAGGAAAAGAAGAGGCCCAGTGGAACCATCACAACAGAATGGATTCCAGCAACCTGGATTCTGGATTACAATGCTTGGATTCCGGATTCCATTAGCTGGATTCCGGATTCCAAAGCCATGGATTCCGGATTCCACAGACCAAAATTACCTGGATTCCGGATTCCGGATTACCTTACATGGAGCGAATTATGGCAGCTTGATTTGTTTTCTAATCTTGCACTTCTTCCTCGTTCCTTTGTGCTGGTACGCTGTCTCCGAGAGGCAAATGTTGCTATTTTTTGCGGGAGGTTTAGTTGGAGTCGACAAACATCTCTTTCAAAGGGTTTGTGTGGGTCTTTAGATAACAGTCTGATAATTTAGGGGAACGGTGAACGAAGACAAACGAACAGACAAGGTTCCATGACTCTACCACTGAATTATATTTTCGTTCTGCTACTCGCCAATGTTGATGTTATTCCAAAACAAAAGTAACTAGGTATTCTCTAAAACACGAAGGAAAATCTAATCCATGTCATCCATGGCAAAACTAAAAGACAGCAGATCGTGTTTCATAACTAGATGACGTGTATTTTATAAATGCGTGCAGCTCGTGCAAGGTGAAATTATGCTAATTGCAATCACCATCATCGTTCTTTTTAATTTTGAAAAAGACATCTCATACGTCTTTCTGTTTCTTCGAAACTTCAAAATTAGTTTCCCCTCAGTTTTTACTGTTTACCTTGTTTTGTTTTAGAGAGAAAAACGGAGAATAAACCTCACAACTAACCTCAATAAATTTTGTTTACATGCGGTTGCCGGATTTGCAAAGCATTGCGCGAATCGCCATGGCGCTTTGCACCCGAGAAGCAAAGTTTGAAGAAGTACAACGCCACTATATCAATATATATCAATCTAATTTTTTGTTATGTTATATCAAATTTATCCCCCTTTAACATATGTAAAAATTGAGGTTAAGAAGTGTTAAGCTTTTGTAAACGAAACGGCGAAAGACGATTAGGTGATATTTAGTGGAAGGAGGAGGTATTCAACACTTTCAAATTAAACTCAAATTTTGGCATTATACGACCAACAAGTTTGACTTATAGACGTACAGACACAAACATATGAAACTGTTTTTTGATATTGTTATGAAACGAATTTATCTATTCAACATTGTAGCCTGAAATTACAGAAAGAAAATAGGATTTCCGGTTTGTAAAAAGGAAAATTTCGCCGCCCTGGTTTCAACCCCTTATGGGTTTCAGCCCTGGGTTATCTTAACCCTACTTTGAACAACCCAACCCAGCCAGATTTTTAGTCTGTGGTGCAGGCTAACGACATGCGTGTCAGTCACATGTCACAAGTTCTATACAACGTCATGACTTCCTACCTGCTTCGTAAACAAGTTATGTCCATCGACCACGTAAATCACAAAAGCCAGCGGGTTTTCCAGTTTCTCTTTGACAAGATTATCCAGAGCTTCATTTTCGTTCCTTCCAGGGGAGTCAATTACACTGACACCGGACTCTAAGAACTCGATGTTCAGCCCGGTCTCGATGATACCCTCTACCTTGGATGAGTCCCCCCGGTCCTTCCTGCTCAGCTCGATCTTCTTCCGCGGAATTTTGTTCTTGCCTTTCAGTTTTATGTTCTGCAAAATAGAACTATGAAGATAAACTACCTCCACGGAGACAACCATTCTTCCACTGAAGACATTCTTAGAGCTTCGTCACGCTTTCCTTCTTTCGTCACGAGTTCCTCTCCCCTTCGTCACGCGTTCCTTGGCGTTCGTCGGGGGAGGGTGGGTGGGGAATTTCGAATATAGATTCAATACTGAGAGGCTATTCTTCTCTAACCAGTCTGCTACAAATAAATCCTTAAAAATTAACAGTCCTGGGAGTCTTCTCCATTTGGTCTGGCGAAATCATGGCGTACTTCATAGGAATGACGGGAAGTTATTTTACTGTGTATATACCTCTGGAACAGGAACTTTCCAAATATTTCTCAACCCCCCCTGGCTCGATCCCAAGGCGGGCGGGGGGCGACGGGGGAGGTACACTTGAGATTACTCACTAAAATATTTTAAAAAATGTTAAAACATTTTGAAGAGAAGCGATAACAAAACTTGTTTAACTTGTTAAATGTTTTGGAGATTGGGGGGTGTTTATAAATATGAACCATACCTCTAATATTTTTCCATCCTTGGTAGTGAGACGACAGAATGGCTCTTTGGCGTAGTGGACTCGTACAATCCTTGCGGTGCTCGGTTGTTCCGAGGTAGGAAGTGACTTGCATCCCAGGAGCTCGTTGATGATGGAGCTCTTACCGCAATTTGTCTGACCGACAAAAATAAGAGATGGCTCCTCGGTGAAAAGCGACTCAACTTCCTTTCTTTCCTTGGTGGTGTACAATAGTTCAGCCAGAGCGTTGTCGAAGTCGCATTGGATGTCGCCGAGTGCCACCGTTGGAGATGAACAGAAGTGAACATCGCTGATTAAAGCTGTTGCTTCCGCTACATCTCCTGATCCAGCTCCGGGCGAGTTTGGTGGAGACGCCACTTGAGTTAACTCCACTTTTAATTCTGCATCGCGCGGTCCAGACAGCTTTTCAACGAGTTGATTAAAATACTCGATTGTATCGCGGTGTATTTTTTGTATAGTGTCCTTGCTTTTTTTGAAATCTTCGAAAACATCTTTAAGCGGCATGACGAAATGCGAAAATGTGAACGACGCTTCTGATCTTTATCACTGGCGGAAGTTATTTGCATAAGCACTTTCGATTCCCCGAAACACAGGATGATTCATTCAGGCATGGTGCACTTCAAGGAAATGTGGTACTAGTGGATGGACTTTTGAATGGAGACCACGGGAAACTGGGTCTGTTTCTTGCGCCAACATTGGGCATTTTATCTTATTCATTTATTCATTTGTTGTTCATTTTTGATAATAGTCATTTAAGGATGTGAGACAATGCTGTAATTTACCTAATATTAAGCCAGCTCGTTCTACTTCCTTGACCGGCCGTAGGTCGAGGGCGGTGTTAATGTTCCATATTATTCGACAATACTTCTTCAAAGATAAATAGAGCCATCAACATGGTTTTCAAGGGGGGCATGTGATATTTTATGTTAGAAATTACTGATAAATAATTAATTTACTGTAGAAGTTAATGCCGGAAGATTGAAATCTATGTTAATAAACTCCATTGTTCTCGGGAAGGGGCTAGTGTTCGAAACGTTAGCTTTCAAATATTTTTGCGGTGGCTGATTAACAGTGTCAACTCAGTTGATAAAGCCTATTTTCCTGTTTCACTCGGTCACAGATTCTTTTGAAACCATTTAAAACACCTTGATATTGGTTGGCGGATTAATTGCGTGACGAGCCCACGATAGGTCTGCAGTTTTTCTCTGTCGGTCACGCAACATTGGTTTTCGGTTTCATTTTTCCGGGAATCGACATTACTAGTCAAAAACTGTGTATGGAAACGTGCTTCGAAGACTCGTATGCACAATAATCCCCTCAAGCTACGGTAGGAAATATTTCTGGGCAGATTGCTTCCAACACTTGTCAAGGTTTGATCAACATGGCGCAAGATTTTCAAGAAGGTGGGTTCCACTTCCGTGCGCGATCGATCTAGACTTATAAATATCTAAGATGTTGTATTGCAAATAGCCTTTTTCTTAGAATAGTCACAGCATCGCGCCTTCCGTATGTTTTTTAGCAATATATCGGGTTGTCTATTTCGTAAAATGGTTTTTGAGTAGTTATTGCAGGTTTTCTGTTTTGTTTTTATACCAACGAATACTAATTTAATGGCGTCGGATAGAAAGAGACGCCATTGTTATGAAAAATGTTCCTAAGTAACCTGTTGCTTCGCGTAGATTGTCTTGTCTATGAGGATTAAGTGTTACTTCAACAAATAACTTGCGGAAACACTAAAACTTTTCTAACATGCTTTCTATCGGCTGGTCAGTTGGAACCTTGCGTGGACTAAATTATGGTCATTCAATTTCTTTTTCGAATACGATTACGAAACTTATTTATTCTGATCGCATAACAAGTATTTACTACAAATGGTTTTTAATGGTAGAATATTGAACTATGATTCATGTTTAAATACTGTATGGTGTCACAGTAAATAATGTATTTACATGCTGTAAGTTAATTGTGCATTAATGTAGAGCGTACCCTCCTTTTCATTGGAATGCATTATTGTGCATATAAATGCTGAACACTGGGCAAGGCTTTGGTTCTAGAGTCAATCACTGAAATTTTAGGTGGGTGTGTGCCATAGGGACCCTGTAACCATGCCAACATTAGCCTGAGTCTAGTCTACAGTGAAACCTCAATATAATGAAGGGCCAAGGGACTGGCAAAGTATGTTTGCTGAAAGGAGGATATTTTCTGTATATTTCACTATTAATGGGGAAAAGAACATTGTCTTTTATTTTAGGATTTTGTTATAAAGAGGTTTGTTATATATTAAGCTTCCACTAGTATATCAGTATGCTAGTCCAGCCTATATCGTTACTTATTCAGCTGCATTTTGCAACCCTATTCCAGACTATGAACAATCAAATCATTACCCTGTCCCAGACTATGTACTCTAAACTTTTAGCAATATTATTGAATGAGGGTGAGTACGATATGAAGAATTCCTGCCTTGTTTATAGACGATATTTTGCTGTGAAACGAGTAAATTCCGCTGACTGTTCAGCCATTTTGTTCTCACTTGATCACAACATTTGAACCTCGTCCCCAGGTTTTCTCAGTTAATGGTTCAATAACCTGCAACCCAGCTGCACTTTTGATGTCATTTTGGTCAGCAGTCTTTGGTTATGGTGAATTATGCGTGTGGTTTTAACCAATCAGAAACAGAGAAATATTTTGAATGAATAATTAACAATTATTCTTTGAAATCGAGGTGAATAGTGGCAAAATATTTACCGAGCCGCGAAAGCGGCGAGGTAAATATTCCCAAAGCCACTATTCACCGAGATTGAGAAGAATAATTGTTTTAGTATATACACACGAAGTGATCTCAACAAAATCAGAAAGGAAACCATTCAAAAGTAGGATTTGATTGACAGATCAAATCACGCGTAAGTTTAAAAATAGATCTTTGCAGAATTTTCAAACATGGCAATTCACAAGTTTACTCATTTCGCAAACAACAGCGTAATGGCTTCAATGGAATCGCTAAAAGTTTGAACTGTTTCCTTACCTGAGAAAAAAAGTAGAGCTGTGTTGTTTTCTGTTGACTCGCCAAGTTTATAGCCAAAAGGGCATGTTGTGTCGTTCTTCGCATGAAGTGCTGACAAAAATGGCGGCTCGGTTGCTCGAGGTAAGAGGTCATCTTCCTGTATCATTCTTTTTCCTGTTTACTTGAAATGTAGAATTTCTGCAAACATTTCCTTTTAAATTTGTTTGTCATAAATAAACTTCGATTTTTGAGCCAAAATTTTCTTCTTAGAAAACGCTGAGTTCACGAAACGGCTTCTTCTACGCGAATACACGGGAGTTGTAAACAATCCATCGAGCACAAAACTCCTGCTACAGTAAATTGAAAAACGCCGTATTGAATCCTTCCAAGTCTTTTCTTGCCTTAAAAAAAGTCAGCCCTAGGATTTTGTCGACTTTTAAAAGATCGTTCTCTAAAAAAAACGGGAAAAACACCGAGCTCACACATTATCCACTCGCTAGGAGGTGAATATTGTTGAATAGTCCGAGATAGCGAACCAATCAGATTGCTTAAATCACCAAGATCACTGAGTGTGTATATACTAATAATAATTATTCCTAACACTGGACAATTGTTGTCCAATTGTTGATTATTTTACCTTATATTCTTGGAAGACATGCCTAATCTCCCATAGACATTTTAAATTCTGCAAGCAGAATACTGCAATGCTGACTGTACTACATGAGAATTTACTTTACAAGACATCAACACGACACCGAAAGAACTCAAAACAGAGCAGGATTGTAACCATAGACAGCTGTTTTGCTATTATTGTAGCTTATCAGTATGGCATAACAACCAGCGAAAGTTCTGTTGAAAAATATCCACACACTCTGATTTTAGCCCTAACCAGGGGCGGATCCAGGAATTTTTGATTGGGGGGTCCAAACTTTGGTTCGCAAAGGACTGTTCAACCTTTTTGTGCCAAATTACTTTTCCTCCACACCCCCTTCCACCAGTCGCTGAGAAGGCAGAGATGACTATGAGTTTCTCAATCTGTGAACTTTTCTGGAGGGTTTTAATATCCCTGGAATTTAGTTTAGTGGCAAAATGCAACACACATTTCATTAAAAAAAAAACAGCCAGTTAAAAAGTGATATACGATCCTGTCGATGTAAGAATTTTAGTCTCAAACAAGTGTCAGGTCTGATAGGGGTGCATCTGGACCCCCCCAGACCCTCTCCCTGGATCTGCTACTGAGGCCCTGCTAGGGTAAATTTCGACAAGCAACATGGCCCAAAAAGTAGCAACAGCGTGTAAAATGAAATTGCAACGAGACAACCTCCCTCGGCCAAATTGCGACAGTGGCGGCAAAGCCAACAATAAGCGACAAGCATTTATAAACACCAACACAAGGCGTTTTAAAATTCAGACGGGCGACATGCCCCCCCCCAGGCAGGGCCTCGCTACTGCTAACCCAGAACTCCCAACACGCACAGAATCACGCCATATCACGTGTCTTCTGCAGGGCAGGAGTCCAAGTGTCAAGTCTTGCAAAGAAAAATAAAGGATTGACCAAAACCAACCTCAAAAACATGGCCAGAACCATGCAAAAATTGCAGCATATCTATGATAGATCTACGGCCCCAAATACATGAAATGGGCGATTCCAGAAAATATCCATACCATACCACGGACGGCTTTAAGGATTTCCGAAGGGGAGGGGGGATTCACGATTATGGAATTCTGAAGGCATGGGGGGTATTTACGATTTGAAATCCGAAGGTATGGGGGAATTCCACAGGTGGGATTTCTGGAGTAGAAAGTGTAGAGTAAGTTCCTGGAAAACGCTATTGTTGTGGACTTTTGTAGTTCGTAAATAAACTACGAACGTATGACCGCGGAAGCAGAAGACAAGCATCGATAGATCAGACACGTGTTTACGCTCATAACTTATAGAAGTGAATAGTAAAACGTTGGTTTCACATTTACCATGATGAATTTTTTGTCACGTGAATAAAAACTGAAAATGTATCTTTTAATACCGCTTGCAAATTTCTTGTTACTCCCGTCCGAAACCGTCCGATAAACAGTAAAAAACTCGCACCAGTCCCTCACTTCCAAGGAACGCCTGTCAGATTAGAACGCTTTTCGTGCGCACTACATGACGTATAAAAGGACGCAACACGACTCGACGGTATATTTGACCGCCAAAAGATTTGAACAGTCTGTTTGAGCTATTTTCCTTTGTAAACGTCAAAACAGCACAAGAAAACAAAGAGGAGTAAAATTACCTTAAGTGGTGTTTATTTTTATAGCCAAATTCGGACTTAAAAAGGAGTTTGCACGGCCTGGCAACTAACGTAGGTTTTTCTTGTCACTGAAGAGTAAAGCTTGTCACCTGGCGCCGCTAGATCACAGCCTTGAGGAGGCATAAATTCATGTTCGTTTGTTCTTATAGGCGTTGCTAAGTCGAAAATGTACTTCAAAAAAACCCCGGAAATTCTGAAGGGGAGGGGGGGTTCACGACTATGGAATTCTGAGGGCATGGAGGGGTAGCACATTTTGGAATTTCCGAAGGCAAGGGGGGGTTAAAACATGGAAGCCGTCCGTGGTTGGGTATGGATATTTTCTGGAATTGCCCAATACAAACATTAACCACAAAGGACTGCAAAGGACCACAAACGAATATGCTGAAGAATGTAGGATCTATATAAATACCTTATAAAGTCCTTTGTGGTTAACCTTTGTAATCTCCCATATGATATTATTTTAATATGACAGAACCCTAGGGGCATAGCTACCTGTATGCATGGTATGCATGTGCATACCTGAAAAGGTCCAGGCTGGTTTAAAAATTTGAAGAGTAAGAAAAGCAAATAAATATAAGATGATTATTTTAAAATGTAGCCTGTGTTAAGCCCCATTAGGCCCCTCACTCTCATGGGCAGCAGTTATGCAAATCTATAAGAACAAAAAAAAGTGAAAAAGTTTCAACATGTGGGACTTTCCAGGGAGGTTGGCAGGTGGATTGTGAAAATTTTGTGTACCTCTTGAAAAATCCTGGCCATCCCACTGAATGTACAAAATGGTCAGGCTCTCTTAGGATAAAAGTAATTTATTTTCTCTCTAAGCATTTAAACTCACTAGTAAAGCTATGTGCAATGAGAAAATGCGGTAGATTTTATTCAGGATCACCGGGTACTTAGGTTCATATTTAGAAAAACAATAGGATTTGTGTAATTGTGTCATTTATTGATTATTTGGTCAGTGGCTGAACACAAAATAATGTCTCAGATTTCTACTTGATTGGTCTTGAGAGAAGCCTGGTAACCCTGTGGTAAGATCTGTAGACAAGGCTGCCCTTCTTTAACTGTTACTTAGGAAGGCATTTGAATGAAAACTTTATTGTGGTGTCTATTGTAGCATTGCTGAGTTCGGCTTTGAAAGCAATCCCTAGGCATTCTCCGCTGTTTCCCCCCAGTCAAACCTGGACTCTACTGTGAGCTGTGATATCATCCTTCCCCAGACTTTGTGCAAACAACGGGATAAGAGAGATCACTTAGTAGGCTGGCAATTCAGGAAGCACTCTAGGAACGTAGGTTTTACAACACAGTTTCTCATCTCTATAGATGTGAGGGTTTGGGGGCAAAAAAGCTCTCTACATGAGTAGTTTGTCCGTTATTTTTAAATCTGCAATGTTGGTCAGGCTACGAAAAATTAATACTATATAATCATGTAAGCTTTTTTAATATTAGGAGTGGTATCCCTTCTGAAAGAAATGTTGTGCCCAGAACACCATTCTTTGAAGTTAGTGCCAAGTTAATCAAATCGAAATGTTAAATTTGGAGGCTAATAGTGCAGTGGGAGAAGACAACTTTAGACGAAGGGGTAGCTGCAGTGAACGGAGAATATAACGTGCAAAAGGAAGGGAAGGAGAAAACATTCGTGGCTAAATGTCTCTGTTTGTAGCTCCTGGACATAGTGAGACTCTGCCTAACCACATCTTCATTTTTACTAGCACCACATTCTTTAACCCTTTAAACCCTAAGATCAAAAGTTGAATTCTCGTTTGTTGCCCCTATTCATTTCCCACAAAAGTAGTGGGGAGAAGTTGACGAAATATCAAGCAAATTCATCTTGTGTGATCATGTCAGTAATTCTCATGACCACTCTGTTTTACAAAGCATTGATATTACAAGGAGAAATTTGATGCTGATCACTCTTAGGGCTTAAAGGTTTAAGACCAATGGGGTAGCCCGCTAAAACAGCTGACATTTCGCGAAGCCACCACTGGTTTCCCCGCGAAATGATGTCTGAGATTCCAAACTGATGACGTGTCACTACCTAGACACTGTGTAGTGGCACTGATTGGTCGTGCTGCATGGGAAATTTGCTTCATTCAATCAAAAATACTTACCAGATCTGGTTAGTGCTTCTGATTGGTTGAAGCTAATTTTCAGCCCATCTGTAGCACTACCCAGATCTGGGTAGTGACGCGTCATCAGAATAGAATTTCTTCGCTCGTTTCTCAGACGTCATTTCTCGGGAAAACACAGTGGTGGCGTCGCGAAATGTCAGCTGTTTTCTCAGGCTACCAATCAGGAAATAATGTTTGTATCTGAAAACTTCATCTCGGCCCTTTGCAGAACCTGCATCGGCTCGCTGTATGGCAAGCCATTCTAGCTTTGATTTAAATCACAAAGCTTTGAGTGCGTTCGGGTGAAGCCCTCCCAAGTTAATTCAAACGTCTTTTCAGTCTTCTAGTCCAGTCATTTCGTATCTAACTGAAAGGGTAGTAAAATAGGGTGAATTTTTTTCATTGCAGTCTCCAGCCTGGACACATCGTCTTCGTTTGAAGACCAGTTCAAGGACTTGACGTCGCTTATAACCTTCTTTGAGCAATGCTCGCAGGGGACACAAGGTTTTATTGACCTGATGAGGCAGCAACTTAGTGAGAGCATAAAGGCAGACCTGATTACTGACGCAGAAAAACAGCGTCTGTCGTCGTATTCCGCCAAGAAGTCCACTCTGTTAGTGGTGGGTCAAACCAACAGCGGCAAGAGTTCTTTCGTGAATGAACTTCTTGGTGGTTCGTTTATGCCAACTTCTGAAGTTCCCTGTACGTCCCGCATAGTTCGTCTAAAGTACAGTGAGGAGAATTACTACCAGGTACAATAAACGGAATTCTTGAAGCAAAGTACAGTAGCCGCCTGAAATTCGTTTATTCCATTTCTTTGAACACCCAGACCTCAAAACAAAAGGGAACGAGCAATAGTTTCTGCAACACCCAGAAACACCCTTAATTTATAATTAGTATTTGTATCTTGCAGCGGAGCACCATCGGTAAGACAATATGGTTAACTATGCATCCAAGAATTTTTAGTTTTGACAAAATCGTCCTCCGTTAGCGCGTGTAAAAAATTTTAACTTGATATTCGACCATCTGTCCATGTTACGATCAACTGACAGCTGTAAACATAGGCTATCCGCTAACTAATGTCACATGACTGTATTGCGGGCTCAGGTGTACAACTCACTGAGGTGGCGTGTTGTTTTAGTTCTCTGCTGACCAGTCATGACATTCACATGATCGCAGGCTGAGAAACTTTACTTCACAAAGACATTTCGTTAAAGTTCCCTCGAGAGCTTCGCTTTTAGCCTTGGCTAAATCTATATATATGTTTATTGTCTTTGTTCGCCTGTTTTACGTTGGGTTTTCTCCCTTGTATTTATCGTTTAATACTTCAGGTGTTGAATAGCTCTCAACCTTCGGAAGGAATCCAGAAGACTCCCTTCAGTAAGAAGAAGCTCCCTAAAGAGGCGATTGAGCTGGACGAGATCAAGAGAGGCGACCCATCATGGATCAACTCTGTGGTAGAAGTGGGGCTAAACAACCCGCTCCTACAGAGTGGCCATCTGGAAGTCATTGATGCACCCGGAATGAGTGAAAACGAGTCTTTGGACAAAATCGTTAACGAGTGCATTCAGGGAGTCTTACAGGTCATCATTTATGTTATAGATGGCAACTCATCTTTAAGATTACAGGTTAGCGTGAAATAAGGAGAGCCTCCCAGGGATTTTACGCCTGGTTGAAGAGACAAAGTGGAATAAGGTTCCTTGCTCAGAAAAAAGAAACGCGACGGGCGAGGCTTAAACCCCGGACCTCTAAATCCGGTGTTAAACGCTAGGTCACAGACGCTTCCACCGACGACATACTGCTGGAGGGTAACCCCGCGATGGACTAGAATCCCGTCGGGGGGAGTGGGGGAATAGCAATACTCCTAGGTATGCTTCATGCAAAGGCAACCGGGATAAGTTCTGTTTATGAATTTGGCTCGGGAGTGCCTTTACCCTTACCTTACCTCCTGCCTTTGTAGGTGGGGTCACACTAGTCGTCTTCCCTAAGGCTCCACATGGGGAAATAGCTTGGGTTGGGTTCGCTCTGCATTTTGATCACTGTCATGTTTGCGGCCACACAGCTATAAATTGCCCAAGGGGAAGAAAAAACTTGGACCTGGTTTCATGGGAAACGCCGTTGTATACATTGAAAGGCTGACATAAATCGTAAACGGTTTCGACCATTTTTACCCTTTTAATAAAACTGCTACATCAATTACGCTTGATCACACGAGCGATTCAGCCCTTAATTTTGAGACTAAAAAGGAAGAAAAAGAAAAGCTAATTCTTGCCTAAATTCTCGCTCAGAAGTAAAGTACGGGTTTACTAAAGTGGTTGCAACGACTTTAAGAAAGGAATTCTTCAACATTGATTTTATAAAGAAAACTCGCGAGTGTTTCAAGATGCTTTTGAATATGTTTAACGTAAAAGCCCGAAAAACATTCACGGCAGTGCTCAAAATCCTGCTGAATGTTCGAACTTTAAGTTAAGTTTTTGCGTAGGATTTTGCGCCAAGACGAACACAGCACGTAAACAACTCATGATTTCTACCGCCTGGTACATTTCTCTTTCTCGTGATTGGTAAGGTTGAGCCGCTTTGGGTTTTAATTAACCCATAGAACTTGCCTCGGGAACTGTCATGGGTAATTCTTTTGTTCTTTTTGCCGTCTCCATGGAAATTTCCGCGAGGTAATTTCACCTTGGGGAAATCGGTCACACACCAAAAATTGCTTCCCCATGGGCAACAGCAATTTGCCCATGGGTAAAATCGCTAGTGTGACCGCATCTTATACTTAGCCGCCCATCTATCCTCTTTATCGATCAAGGGAGTGGGTTTTGGCAACTTAAGCAACTGTGATCATGGGAACAAACAACTCATCAGCATCAGGATCCATCAGTGCAGCAGCTCCATAGTACGGAGCTTAAGCAAAGACGACGGCGACGGTTACGAAAACGTCACTTAAAAAGTGAATTCACACTGCCTCAATCTTTATCGCGCTTATTCCATTTGGTTCAGTGCGTCGAATGTTGCAATTTTTTTCTAGAGTTGAATCCTTCGAGACTGTCTCGAAGTGCAGGAAACGAAAACAAAGTCGTTGTCTTGTGTTCAAGTCCTCCACAAAACATGAAATTAGGCATTTTCACGTCAAAGTCGTGCAGCGACGGCAAAGAAATGTACAAAAAAGCATGATGCACGTGCAAAGTTGTTGTTTTGTCAATCTAAACCTTCTGATTTTTTGACGTTCTCTTTAACGTCGCCGTCGTCTTTGCTTAAGCTCCCTAATCTCTCCTTCGTCACGCTTTACAGTTCTTACTTAGCGCCGGGCGGCTGGAGGCCTGGACCCTCCAAGGATACAGTCTATTTGCTACGGGATGGTTGGCAGTTTTTACCTTCTGTATATTTTGCACCTTTTTCCTGTGAGATGGGGTCACTGAATGGGGCGTATCTCACCCGTATTAGATAGATGTTTAACATCTTCTGCTTATCCAGACCCCAGTTGTTTAAAAGGTGGATAACGCTATCCACTGAATAAATCTCTAGCCAGTGGATAGCGCAATTGGTTTCCCTAATACTTATTCCCTGGAGAGTGTTTCATCCGGTGGATATCGCTATACAAAGTTTGAACAACCGGGGCCAGGTCAGTATAACTATGTGCCAAAGTATAACAGACATTAGGGCCATTTATACGAGGGAAAATAAGACGTGTCTTTCATTCGACGCGTCCTAAATAAGACGCAAACTATAAACGGCACATTTAAGAGGCGACTTAGCAAAGACGCATCTTACCGAAGAACAAGTGTTAGGGGCTGTTCTCAGATAAGACGCGTCTTAGCTAAATTTCAAACGAAATGTGCCGTTTATACGGGATAGTTTGAGTCTTATTTAGGTCGCGTCCCATGTAAGATGCGTCTCATTTTTGCTCGTTTAAAAGGCCCTATTGTAGTAAAGTGAGGAAAACTCGCTGATCGACAGGTCCTCTTCACTCAAGTTCTGGTCTAAAACGGAGTATGCAATCTATCTCTTAAACCTGAGATGAGGTAGCAAATGTAAATGTTTTTTTTTTCTGGTCCTGGGTCCCAGCAGAACCCACCAACCCAAATTTTCTAACTACCTCTTCTCCCACGGGAATGAACATAACACAAAATGGCTGGTGAATTGACCAATCCATTTTTTTCTTTGTGCTGAAGGAAAGAGGCTTTCTTCTCAACTTGAAGGAAAAAGTTGGCAACTTGCCCATATTCTTCGTTTGCAACAAGGTGGAGAAAGACCAAAGAGCACTAGAATTTGATCGGGACTCCGAATCAGAAGGCGATTCCGACTCAGAAGACGATAAGCCAAGTGGGAAAGAAAAAGGGAAAGAAGATGTTGTTTATCAAGCTCTAGCAAAGTGCCAAATGGTTCCTGAAGACGTAGCATGGGAGGACTGTGCGTTTTTTCACGGGTTGTCGTCCAAGGAAGTAAGGAGTGCTCGTCTGAAGAAAGAAACAAACCAATTCACCGAACAGTTTGAAATTCTCAAATCCAAACTGCTTAGATTTGCTGCCATTGGAGTGAATTCGCATTTGAAGTCTGCCACTGAGCTTCTCTCCCAGATCCAAGACAGAGTTTTCGATTTGTTCCTGACTTGCGATTTCCAAAAACCCGTCCAAAGAGAGTTGTTCCATTTCTTGGAATTTAGGGAGCAAGAGTATGTAGAGAAAATTCGGTCGTACATAGGAAAGAACAAATCTCATTTCGCCAATATTATCAGTAGGGCTATCGACGGGAATAGGAAGAAAATCGAAACAGACGCAGGTGACATGCAGTTTGACCCTATTAAAATAGGGGATGTTGTCCGGCGAAATGAAGTTGTCGAACAGTGTCGAAGACAAATCAAAGACCTAGTGCTGTTTAAAGTCATGGACATTTCCATGACTAAAGTGAGAGGGACAGTAACTACAATAACGAAAACAATTCGTACGTCTCTGGAAGAATCTTTCTGCGAAGTGGTAAAACAGGATGACCGTCTTGCTAATTTGGTAAAGAGACAGCTTGAATACAGCTTTCTTCAGCATTTCCATCAAGAAGACGTGATACAGCATTTTGATTATGCTTTGATGAGAACAGGAATCAGAATAAGGGATGAAGCCATCAAGGTAGTAACCGATGTGTGGTCTGCTTTCAGAGGAAAGAGGACAAAACTAGACCAAGAATGGAAGCGAAGCGTCGCTAAGGATGTGTTAGATAGCGTTGATACCGATGCAATAGCTAACAGAATATGCTCTAAAATATCAGATGATCTGGAAAATGGTCACAAACTTTTTCAAGTAAATCTTCACTACATGGAAATAATGTGCGCGGCTGCAGCCGAGCAGACTGATGTTCAGAAAAAGTTTGCGATAGCAAGGGCACCACATTTTGCAAGCTTAATGAGTAGCACAGCAGCACTCTATCAAACCCTGGTATCACCTGTTCCCCAGAGAGCAGCCTTGGGTACTCGACTGGGAAGGAAAGGACACAGAGGCAACGTCTATGAAGTACAGTCCAACGAGCGTCTTGTGGCCAAACAGCTAACCTGCGACAAGGAGTCAACGAAAGAAGAGTATTTGTTTGGCTTGATACGTTCATATAGAAGGTCAGAATTGCATTGAATCATTTAGTTAATCACTAATCAGTTAGTCCTTCATCTTGGGAAAGAAAGTTAGTTTCTTAGATTGTTATGTAGCGCCAATAAGAGAGAAAGAGAGAGAGAGTGGGGGCGGGGGGAGAGAGTGGGAGAGAGAGAAAGACAGAATTCTGGTTATACTAAGGCCCAGTAGCGCTCAAAACGTCAGTTCTATATAGTGGGCAGTTAACCCAGTGGATGAAATCAAATTTTTGTGTTCTTAATCTTGGTCACTCTTAGTGAGCCTAAAGTGGATGGATACTCAGAAAAGTCAAGTGGCCACCTAGGGTGAACTCTATATGCAAATCAGACCAATTATGAGGTGACTCCCCTCAAAAAAAGAGCTCGAAGATTTGTTCAATTAATCCAACATCAAACATACATGGGCTTTCACAGCATTTCCTGCTGGTGTAAAATAGTGTAAAATTCCGCAAATAAGCCTTCGGGTCTTCTTTCTCAATGGCCCGGGTGGGTGCTTATACTGCGGAAGATTTTTCTATTTTGCTTTTAGAATTTGGGAGGCATTGATTTAGCCTGCTGCGCCACAGACGGACTAAACTTCTGGTCAAGCCCGTCTGCGAAATAGCCGCTTAAATCCTTGCTCTGGTCCCCAACCTGTGTACTCGTATTTGAGTACGCACCACGATTGGTATGTTTTAACAATGGAATTTTTTAAAAAAATGCCATTGTTGATTTGTCAGTCATTTTGAGGGAGAAATTCGAAACACATTTCCGCTAATTCGTCCGTTGGGGCCCAGAACAAGGATAACAGCGCTGTTTCGCAGACGTCACTAACCTGGCGGGTTAGATTACCTAGCATTCATTTGAAGAGGATTACAAACGGAGGGGTTTACTTTTTAACGGTATCTTCAATACTTGCTTTTGATCCTTAGGATTCAAAACGACCTGTGCACAGTTTTGAAGCCCGTTTCGTTGCTATTGGATAAACGCAAGCGGATCACCGTGCTGCTACCACGAATGCGCATAGACCTGTTTGATCTTCTGAACAGGGATGGCATTCCATTTCGGCACGGTCTCAGAATGGTTCAACAGATAACGGATGCTTTTGAAAATTGCTGGAAGAGAGGCCTTCACCACGTGGATTTGAGGATTTCAAATGTCCTGGTATATATATTTTGAAATCCTAATGATTTCCTTTCTTATTTTACCACTGTCTGCTTTTGTAATTGAAAATACTCGATTCAGGCCCCTAGCTATTCCTTATCGCTAAGATTTTTTATGGTGATCTCAATATGAGAAGAATCCAATTAGCCCGTGAGGACTGGGGTTGGGGAAGGAAATTTGTACTCTTTCGAGTTTTCCAGTTTTGGCTCGGCACCATTAGGTAGCTAGATACTCGGCGGCCGAAACCACATCTACACGGAAAAATCGCGGACTCTGAACAGTCTAGTTGGGGTCGTTGAAACTGGTCTTTATTACATCTTTTTCAAGTATTGTCAGTAGTCCAATTGTAATTTTTCTTTGTTTGAGCCTCACTATCGTCTAAACGATAAAGCGAAGGACAATATACATTGAGCCAAAGCTGGAAACAAAAATATATTTACCAGCCTCTATATCTCTTGCGCTCTCGTCTCAGTTTCCTTAATAGATCATTTTCACTCACGTGGTTAGCAGCTATAAGAATTTCTTGGAACAAACGAAAAGAAAGCTTTTACATGAGAAAAAAATTTCTATCCCCGAAATTTTTTTTCTACACCAACATGGCTGCCGTTTCACTCTTAAGGTAACCCAATATGGCCGCCGTGACGTAATGTGCAAAACTGTCTGTAGATGTAAGAAAGCTTTAATATTTGACGGCGACGATATTAACGACCAAAAATCTAACACAACTAAACATTAGATACGTTGGTACAACCTCTGCGTTAAGCGCGGCTGCTTCATAACTTTGTTGTTGTTTTACGGCAGCTGGACGAAAACTTGAACGCCAAGCTAAACGTCTCCAAACCGAGAGACGATTCCATTTTGTATCCAGACGAAAAAGCTCCGTTTCACGTGCCCGACATCAACCCTGGTGTTCGTACGTTTGATCCGGCGGTAGTGTGCATCCTTGAAAACCACTGTGTGTACAGTCTTGCAGTGTTGCTCTGGCTACTGTTGGAGGAGAAATACTGCAGGCCTGACTACGCTGAGACGAGTGATGTGAAACAAGTGTACGCAGCAATCGCACGGGGAGGGGACTCTAAGAACATTTTAAGAAGACTGGAAAAGGGTGATTTGACGTCAGGAGGAAGGATCGAGGGGCTAAACATTGTACAGTCAACGTTTAATTTACCGAAAGAAGAGTCTCTTTCCTCATGGCTAGAAAACTTCAAAGTAAAGGTCACTTCCGTGCTTTCTTCTTATGAAACTATGGAGACGACAGTTTAAGAAGGTTTTGAGCCAACATGGTGGTGGAAGAAAACGAATTTGGTGTTGCAGTCAAACTGCTGTGAAACAGTTACCCTTTCCCAGAATTGTCTCTGTTGCTACTGAGATCGATTAGAGGGAAAATCTGGCCGTCGCATTTTTTAACAAATAACCTAAAGAACGCTGCAAAAGTAATGCAATAGAATTTCTTACGGTATGCAGTGCAGTATCCCATATATAACTTGTAGCTCGGAAATGTGCAGTAGTTTAAAAGAAATGAGTTGTTTTTCATGCTAAAATTTTTAATATGCTGGAGTTGTAAACAGTCAATATTTAAGAGGTGGGCAAAAAAGACTGGATACTAAAGTAGAACGCCAAGCGCGTGTCGTTAGACCTCGTTCCACCAGGAGATGTTTCAAAGTTTATTACTTTACTTGTGGATTGTCTTGCCAATTTACTTAAACCCGTTTCAGTGTTTGAACTTATTTGAGTGTACTGAGATGTTTGGCCGCGGTGGATCGCGATGTATTATAAAATGCATGTATTACCTAGCAACTTAGACCTACTCCTAGAGATCAAAGATCGATTATCTCAACGATATAGTGTCGCTTAGGCTGCAGTTTAAGGCAACCTGCAGACTCATGCATATATATGAGTTAGAGGATAGAAATGTACTTTTAACCTGAGCTACTCTTGATATTTCTCAAAGTAAACAGTTTTTATCATCAGAGTGGGCAAAATTGAAAATGGCTAAACTCCGTTTTAATTATCCACCCTGAACCTTCTGGTAGGCTATTTGTAAGTTAAGTTAATCGTTTTTGATATGGAAAAGAAAAAAAAAATAGATACTAGATTTTAAAGAGCAAGATAGTGACTAGGCCATGTGATACCGAGACAAAAAAATCCCAGTGTTAGAATGTTTATTTTTTGCTCACTAACTCCGCCAGTACACTATAATGGTACTTTACTATACAACATAACGAAGAAATACATTAACTGGTCAGGATAAAATTAGCTTTGGGTGTTATACAAACGAACTACCAACGATCATCGAAACGGTCAACTAAAAAACAAAGATAAACTCTTTCGGGAGCAAGGGTGGCGCAGTGGTAAGAGCACTCGTCTCCCACCAATGTGGCCCGGGTTCGAATCCTGGCGTCGACGCCATGCGTGGTTTAAGTTTGTCGTTGGTTCTCTCCCGTGCTCCGAGAGGTTTCTCTCCGGGTACTACGGTTTTCCCCCTCCTTAAAAACCAACACTTCCAAATTCCAATTCGATCTGGAACGCACGGACACATGAACTCCTAAGTGCTCCGTGGGTAAACAAATTACAATTTAATACAAAAATACACTTTAACGATTTAGCTGAAGCAATTGAGGCTGCCGTTACCCCTGAGTGGATTGTCATTCACACTCTTTTTCTACAGTTTGATTGGTCTGGAGATCACAACGTTACCTTGACATGCTCGCCAATGACAAACCACGAAAAACTGCTGGTAACGGCCGGTTGTTAAGAGAGGATCATGGGACCATTATCTTCTCTTTTGGCTGGAGGATGTTTGCCTCACTCGGGCACAACATATTGTCAATTGCGGATCTGCTTCTTATAGAACAAATATTATCATTACGTTTTTAATACTGTCAAAAAGGCTATGGTTGATAAAGACACATTTCTAGATTTGTTTATCAACTCGCTAGAAAAAAATGAAAGAAATGATCTCTCTTTCTAGTTTACAAAATCAGTCTATTTTTTAACTAGTTGTAAACGTAAATGATACCAGTTTTCAAACATTAAGAAAACAAACAAACAATAGACGGGGTAAAATAAAAAACCCTCAGTCTCACGCGCTTCTATTGATTAAGCAAAATTACAACCATTACGTCTCTGAAAAGCATAAAGTATGTAAGTGTTGCACATTAATTAAATGTTTCAAATATATACAAACAATTATAGCTATAATTCTGGTTTAAAGCTTCCAAACGCGCCCACAAAAAAACTAAATTGCAGTTATTAGCTCTTCATTGAATAAATTCTCTCTTCCCACACTAAAATTTTAAAAAATTGCGCAACCCTAGACTCAATGAAGCCGTCTGATTTGGAACCGACCCATTGCGAAACTTTTTTTATAACATTTGCGTATACACTTTTAGCTAACTATGGTTACTCTCAGCACATCTACAAAGGCAAAGTAATAAAATGCTTCTAATCTATCTAAAGCGCGATCCTTCAAAATGTAAAAACTATTATGACATTAACCTACGAGCGTATAGTATCGCAGAAAGAAGAAAAAATTTTGTCACATATATCCAGGGTATGTAAGGATATAAACACAGACCTTTCGAGCGCTTAGCCTTCGTTTGAGCAAACCAAACGTTTGTGAATTTTTATGCAGTGTATTGAACTCGGTGGAATTATTATCGAAGCTTCTAATGAAAAGTTAACAATAAATGAAAGGCTTGTTTTCTGTTCCACTATGAGAACTGTAGCTTCGCCTTTGGATTTATGTATCACAGTCAACCCACAATCCCTTAATTTGCTGTGATGAAGGGGTAGCGCTCGGATCGTCAGTTTCTGCCGCTTTCTTTTACGATGACTTAGTCGATGATAATAAATTTGTGTCTATCACTCTGCAAGTGACATTGGCCTATTATTCTAAATCTTTTCTCACTAATTTATACCTGTCAAGGACGCACCATACTGACACCACAATAAATAGTGGTAATTGACGGTATCTAAACAACAACCTGAAATACAAGTAGATTATTATGTTCCGAACTCTTACAAAGGGATCACACGTGATCTACACGTGAGTCTAGAACTAGCCAGAGATTCTCAAATGGTCAGAAGTCCCTGGCTTACACTTCCAGCATGCGACGTCAGACCATCTGAGTATCTTACCGGAGAACACTTCAGGTCTCATTTCCTTGTTTTAAGCATGGACTGTCTGAATGCTCCAAAGCAATTTCTAAGATTCTGCCCAACATCTCCTCTTTATTCCTTCCATAATTTCGACAACACTGTCCATACGAATAGTTTCTCTTTGATCCCAACAACTCCACATCAAATCCCAGCATGCATCGGTAATCTCTGGCAACCTCTTTGGAAAGATTTTCTTCTCCACTGCTTCCTTCATCTCCTCGATAGTTTCCAGGTGCCGGTACACGCCTGGCCGTGTCTTTCCCGATCCCTCACAAAGCACCCATAACAGAATTCCAAATGCATAGACGTCGTACGACGGGTAACTCAGCTGGCCTGTACCATGGTGCTGGTACATTTCTGGTGAGATATGGAATGGCGCGCCAAGTGAAGTCATCTCGTACGGGAATTCGGGTTTGGTGAGGTTGATCTTGGCTGTTCCATCAGACATCAACTAAAAAGATAAAAAAAACCTTAAGTTATACTTTAATTACCACTAACATCAGTCGATTGGAGGGACGGGGTAGGGGAGGGACAGGGTGTCCAAACCTCTCGCTCCTCTTTCCTTGGCTTCCTCCCTTCAGCCCCTTTTCGGTTATGAAATATTTAGCATAACGTTGACTAATTTCCCCCTATGTCTTCCGCTTCCCACCCAATGAGAACTCCCACCTCCTGCCCTTTCCCCTTCCCCATCTCTGTCCGCTCCGACTCGTTTGGGTCCCAAGGGTGGCGCTATACGTGGTTAGAGCAGCTCCCGTCCTACCGTTTTGGCCCAGATTGCAACTTCTTTCTAGTTCCGAGAGATTTTTCCCCCGGCACGCCGATGCCCCTCTCCCTTTAGAAACCAATATTTTGAATTCCAAATCGATCCAGAAACGCACAAACACGTCTGAACGACTTCTCAAAGGCTCCTGTCTGGTCCTATATCTACTAAAACCTTATTATGAATGCGTCTCCTAATGCAAGCTCAAAGAAAAGCTTATTCATATCACTGCTAAAATCGAGCTAAAATGACTTAAGTCGAGATATTCCGTTATTCTGGCTTTTGAGTCTACCGACGAATTTCTATGGTGTTATTAATTTAACTCAAACCCACTGTGGCAAAACTTTTGCACGGAACTTATTATTTTGCTATCGAGGATTTTACAAAACAAAACGTTTTCCTTGAACTTTGACCATTATTAGGGATGAAGAGCTTCTAATCTTACCAAGACGTTTTCAGGCTTTAAGTCCTTGTAAATGTAATTGATCTCATGGATGGCCTTTAGACCTTTAGCTACATCCACCGCAATGTTCATCCTAATGGGTAGTGGTAATCCGCTCTGGAGAGCGGACAGCAGACCTCTTTCTGCCTTTTCCATAACCACGTGCAGCACATCAGGCTGAGGGAAGACCCAGCCAAACAGGCGTAACAGGTTTGGATGAGATCCGTGGTGTTTCTGAATCATGTCCCTACAGGAGCAAGGAACGAAATGGAAGATTTCCAAAGAACAAAAACATCTGCCCCCAGTCGTTCAAAAGGTGGATAGCGCTATACACTAGATTGGTGGTGGATAGGGCTATCCAGCTTTTCACCGGGGCCTGGTGAATATGTACATGTAGAACCAACTCTAAGCTCAGACCTTGGCATTAAATGAGCTTATGTTATTTAACAATTTTTTATGTATCTTCTGTGCTATTGAGAAGACTATGATGTCTCATTAAGACAGTCCCTTTCAGCCCCTCTCATTTTTATGAGAGCACTACGTGGCAATTTGTAAAAGTAAATGGCAATGAGAGGATTACATTCTAATCATTCTAGGAGAGTAATTTACGGGTCGTGACAATTGATTGTCAGCAATCGCGAACGTTCACTGAATTAACAGTAATTACCCCTTCACAATAACATCAAATTACCAAACTCTTTGTAAATCGTTCCAGCTCTAGGACAATGCAGAGTAACAATGCAATTTAAAGGCATAACTTACATCATATTGACTAAATCCACGGCAGTCTGTTTCCAGATAGCCTCGCCCAAGCTTCGTTTTTCTAGCACCTTTACTGCGCATTGTCCACTTGGTGAAACCTTGCACCAGCGCTCACTTATGCAATCATAAATGACTCCCTTCCGTGTCTTGGCAATCATTGAGCCCAGTTCTACAGGCCCTCTATGATGCATGTTCTGCAGAGCCATTCCTTCAACAGCCAGAGTGCGTATCTCAGGAGTATAACGGACACGAAACAGTTCAAGCCGAGATGCCACCGGGCAGTGCGCAAAATTTCTCTGCAAGGAGGAAAGCGAGGACACGGCTGTGCTAAACAGTTCGTGCATTTTCGTGAGACGATTGCAACAGGCCTCGTGGACTGCTTTTGCCACTCGCTCCTCGTCAATTGTCTCAAGAAAAGATGACACGATGACCTCGCGAGTCTCCTTTTTGTTAACGTCTTCGTTGGTGTAACTTGACGTATCTATTGCACTGAGGGGTTCAGAAATTTCTCGTCTCAGAGCAATGCTAACGGCCTCTTTAATAGAATCAAGTAGTCCGTTTAAAACACTTTGAATCAGTTCATCAGCTTCTGTTTTGACTGCCAGGAACTGAATGTCATAGCTCTCTTCTAGAATGCGAGAGACCATGGGATGGGCCAGTTCTTCATTGAATGCAATTATAGCCTCGGTCAGGTCACTAACCATTTCATTCATTGTCGCCTCGACAAAACGCCCAAGTGAATTACACATCTTTTCCAGAATGCCTCCTCTCATATCACTCAGGAATCGCTGAAAACCGATGTCGTTTGTACTAAGTAGTGTAGTGAGTTCAGCCGAGAGATCAGGAAGGTCTGTTTTAACCATCTTTTGGGCGTCATTTCTAAGATGTCGGAGGTTGACTGGTTTGTAGACTTCCGCGTCTTTTACACATTCTGCTTTTAGAAGTCCTATACTATCCACGAGTCTTTCTTTGGCAGCATCTGAGGCGAAAGTAAGCCGTGAAAGTGATTTGAAAATTTTCGTTTCTATGTCATTGCCTTTCTTAACAACTTGCGGCAAAAGAGACGCTTTCTCTGTGATGACAGTTCTCTGCACCTGGACTATGTTTACAAAGCTTTCTTGAAGAACAAGAAGTTTTTGAACAACCTGCCTGGTCTGTGTCTTCATGACTTTCCCAAGAAGATGCTGCAAACACGACGAAAATCGGTTAAACCTTTCGGTTGCCTCTGACTTTTGAGAACTCAATCTTTCATTTCTCACTGCCTTTGCGGAAATCGCGTGATATAAAGAGCATGTTTTCGATGAATTTTCCGTGAGAAAGTTTCTTTCTTTCAATTGACTGAAAACTACCTCTCCTTTGTCAAGACTGCTTTCTTCGTCATCGCTGTCGTCGCTCTCATCGGAATCTTCGTCAGATTCTTGCGCTTCTTTAGTGATGTCTACCTTGTTGCATACAAATATGATGAGACACTGAGGAAATTTGTTTTTCAAGAAGCTGACGGTTTCTTTATCCTTAAATTAAAAAAAATGAAGAACAAAATGTTATTACTTAAAGCGCTTTCATGCGGCTTTTTCTGCGGCCTCTCTGATCCACCTTAAAACGTTCCTTCCTTCCACCACTCACTCAAACAAAATATACATAAAGCTATAATTTTTAATTAATTTTTTGAGTTACGGTTTGTGGACAGATTATCAGTGACGAATTCGAAAGCATAGACGGAAGTGTCTCCATTTTGTTAGCAACCCATCGCAGTTCTTCCTTCAAATTGTGACCACTGTTTTTGCGTTTCCTACTGGTAAAAGGACCACCATTACTTGGTGGTCATCCGAGCCACACAAAGACCAAGCCGTTTGCCGGGCAAAAGGGAATTTCTTTAGAACACCGTGGCCGACCAGGATTCGAGTCGGGATCCTATCTTTTTCTTGGTTTTCTGTGGTATGTATTGGGTAAAACTAAACCGAAAAGTCGCCCTATATAAGGTTATCGGGATTCCGGATATCCCGCTATTAATCGGAATCCAGAATCCACCTTGCACTGACAAAGATTCCAAAATTTAGTATCTGGAATCCAGAATTAACGGCCTGGATTCCAGAATCCAAGACTGCCTTGGATTACCTTACATGAGCAGCGAAAAGAAACAAGACAAATTAACAACCAAACAAAAAACAACGGACTTGATGACCTCGACACGGTGTTTTATGGACAGTTGAGCTAACTCGTTTAGTTTATTTAAAAGTTCGTATTCGATACCTCGTCCCATGTAAGGGAATCCAAGCGGTTTTGGATTCTGAATTCCACGCAGTGGATTCCGGATTCTAGCTACTGTATTCCAGTCTTTGTCAGTAGAACTTGGATTCTGGATTCCAATGGTAAGTGGAACTCCGGATTCCACGAGCTGTTCCACAAGCAAAAATTACCCGCTTTCTTTTACATGGGGCGAGATACCGCCAGAAGAGCGCCTGTGCCATAAATAACGCAGGGTACGTATGGGTGCGAGCCACGGGACTGTTGAAATTGTTTCCCTTGCTTTGGTCTTTCATAAATTCGGTTAAAAGTGTCTTAGGCTAGGGACTGATAAGACGGAAAAGTTGATTCACCGTAGAAAACGCTTGACCTCGAAAACAAATTTTGGGTTTTGGATAGAATAGCATGCGCTGTGAGGACCAGGCCCCGGTTGTTCAAACGTTGGATAGCGCTATCCAGCGGGTAAATCACTATCCAGCTGATAACACAATTGTTTCCCGTAATACGTATCCGCTGGATAGTGATTTATCCGGTGGATAGCGCTATCCAGCTTTTGAACAACCGGGGCCAGGCAGCCAGATCGTAGAGTTTCCCATTCTCGATCCCAGTGCTCTGGCCACCAAATTACAGGTGTCATACTCGGGAATGTCCGGGAGAAAGCTGCGGGAACCCTGTGTACGCATCACTGACGCAAAGCCAAACATCTGGTGGTACGGACCTCACACCGCATGCTCTTCTTTGCTTCGAGTACTTTTTCTCCGTTTTCTCCATTACGGAGCGTCATGTGGCTTCGCACTTTTAAGAGAACTGACGAATCGAAGTTTTTGAACAATTTGTGTTTGCTCAGCCGAGGTTTTTGCGTAGACTGCTCTATGAGAGGGTAAGTGTAACCCAAATTGCTTTTGAGATTAAACGCATAGTTTATATTGCAATAATATATAGATTTAGCCAGGGCTAAAAGCGAAACTCTCGATAATATCTATAGTTTGTTCAAAACAAATATAAACTCGTGTAATGCTAAGCGGCGAAGGCAACGCCGGAAAACGGTGAAAAACATCATTATGTCTAATTAGCAAAAAAGCAACTTTCCACGTGCAGCACACTTTTTTTGTACATTTCCTGGCCGTCGTTTTGCACGACCACCACGTGAAACTTCCAGATGAAACTGCTTAGGGCCTGTTTATATGGAGTGGGGGACCCCGGTCTGGTGGGGTTGGTTTCTTTTGTTTTCACGCTCTGGGGGACACAAAACAAAAGAAACTTACCCCACTAGACCGGGGTCCCCCACTCCATGTAAACAGGGTCTTAGTTACACGTTTTATGGAGGAAATGTCGTACTTTTTTTTTCACTTTTTTTTCACTGCCGCTCATTTTCACCTTGCATTGGTGGCTGCTTATCACCGCCGCTACATAATTATCATGTTGTTCTTCCAACAAAAAAATGTCTCCTTTGTTATTTATCTCTCCCTCTAGACCTCTGTCACTCTTTTTCTCGTTTAGCTGCGCTGGCCTGCCGCCTACTTTCTCTTTTTCTCTGTCCTTCTCTTGCTCTATTTCCAAATTTGTGGACATGACAATTAATCTAAGCTTAATACTTCAGACAACACGGATACAGAAACAATTTCCGCTTTCCGTTTTCGCCTTTCGTGTGACCCTTTAGTTGCCTCTGCTTTACAAGACTCGGGTGGCTATGCGATTTCCCGCCAAAATAACCTCAAGTTGCATTTGGGTTGCCATACCTGATCCGGAATTATTGCCCCCGCAGGCATTTCGCCCAGAGGCGAAATCCCGAGGAGGTACCCTAGTAACTCGCGCGTATATTAAGGACAGTACTTACAGTTCAAATATACAGTCACTATACTAGAAAAAATCTCGATTTGCTCGAACTGGGGCCGCGAGGAATCGGTAGGTAATGATGACGTTTCTATTGTTTGCGCCCGCAAATACGAAATGGTTAGGATGACGTAAAGACAGAAAATCCCGAAAGGACCGCTCAGGTAGATTTTGTGACACTTATCATGCAGTCATACTTCGATACTCTTTTGCGTTACGCAGTGACATTCTGTGGAGCAGTTGTTTTGAAAGTTATGGACCAAAAGACACTCGTTAAGCGCAGGGGAGGTTATAAGGTGCGTTTAACTGTGCATATATAAACACTTGGAGAGTTTGTCAGACACGAGTTCACAAATCTTTTATTTACATTGGAAACCTTGCTAGACTCCTTCTCTCTCTTTGACCGGAATAAGACTCAGCCCCAAACAAGCAAGACGAGTGAACAAGGGCTAGCTTATCACTAGCAGATTGATGGACATTTACAGAAATTCGCCGACAATCAAATTCTGTGCTGACTTATTCCCTGCTCACAGATGTCCTTCCGTTATAAAGTTTCAAATAAGACTAGAATGCGCGCTAGCGTGAATCGATCAAACGTCCTTTTAATTTCTAAGGCTTACTTTCCGGCAAATAAAATGAACTGAATGTAAAAAGGGAAAGAGAAATAGCGAAAAATTCAACTTCTAATTAAATCTTTTCTTATGGTTTAGAATCAACCTCGTCCCCAGGGCTTTTCCCTTAAAAAATGGGTGGTTTTAAGGGAAAAGCCCTGGGGACGAGGTTGGTTTAGAATAAACTATTCTCGAAACTGAGAATGTTTTGATCAAAGCTGTGTAAATCGAGCTGAAACTGTGCATGGAACCTTGCGTTTCCTGTATTTATCTCACCTATTGTATGGAATATGTGTGAAAATCTTCATTATGAATCGGTATATTTCAAAGAGCTACACAACCAGCAAGAATACTATTGACCGACAATATACAGAACGGGGGCAGCTGTAGTGTCAAGTATTACTAGTTTTACATTGGTATGCCTGTGGTGCGGAAGGACAGTCGCTCGGGCGGTCGATCGGTCGGTCGGTCGGTGTACGGTCACGTGATTACCAAAATTTCTGAAATGGGTAGATTTACTTAGCTATAGGGCTCCGCGCGAAGGGCGCGTGAGCGTGGAACTCCGCTGAAATGGCCATAGCTAAGAAAATTTAATCCGGAAAATATTGGTTGTGACGTCAGCGTACGCCTGCCCGTACCGTACCCTCTTTGAGGGGGGCTGGGGGTGGGGAGGGAAAAAGAATCAGGTGTTTTTTTGGTTTTTGGTTGAGAAATGCGCCACTTTCCAAGAAGTAATCGGAAATCATCGTTTTCAAAAATAAGCTTCTCTTAGTACTTCGTCTTGCTGGATGCGTAAGAGGGTTAAAAAGTCTTAAGCGATTCTGGCCTTACTTGATGGCTTTCACAAGCTGCATCTCGACCGGCAAGCTTGAGTAATTATATTGCATTTGATGTTTATTTTTTTCTGGTTTCGTGAAGTCGAGCATTGTTTATGCGGCCGTCACTTTACACACATTTGTAAGATTTGAGACGGGGATCTGACCTAGTACAGAACTTAAAAAGTCTAGACATTTTCTGACCGCGACTCAGTGAAAGAAAACGTTCTGAAGTTTAGTCATCCTTTTGGTTGTAAAAGAAAGCTTTGAGCGCTATTCCTGCCTCGAGTTCATCTTGAAAAATAGCAAACGCTGCGAAGCCGGCTTAAAACTTAAACTTAATGAGCTTAAGGTGGCTGAACACAGTATTGGCAGTTTGTGAGTCTATGTCATTTGCCAAATCATGGCAAGAGAAAGGTTGCAGCTCACAAGCTGAAACTTGGCAGGTGGAAAATATACTAATGAAAGATTTTGATTGACAGGTAAAATTTGACGTTTTCGTAGTTTCCATGGCAACATGAACGATTGAATACAACCTTAAAATTTCACTTTTGTTCAGTTTACATAAAATCCGCTCATTAGATTTTCCTATAATCTTGCACACAGCTTACTGTAACTAATCATTACCATTTGAAACTTATTTGATCAAATTTTAACAGACGGACTTTTAGATAATCAATTAATATAATTGTATCGTAATTATTAAATGTGTCACGAAATTCGTCTGTTCAACCTCCATTTTAAAGTTTTCATTATCTAAAATACGATAAAAGTAAAAATTCTGCCAAATATCACAAAATTTTAATGAGTAGATTTTGAGAAATCGTCTTCTGTGTACCATTGCTTTTTCGCCGCCATGTTTGTTTGTCTAATTAAAAACACGCGCGGTCACGCGAGTTACCGCTGACTGCCCGCAAAACTGTGTTCAGCCACCTTAAGGCTTTATTTCATGACCAGATTTTCAAAGACACTTCACTCTCAATTCATGTCTTCGTGAATAACATGTCCTTTGAAGTGTATCATTGAATTATATTTCTGTGTCTTGATTGTTTGTCAAGATCTCTTTCTTATCGCTTTGCCGGTTGTTGTTCAGTTTCAGTTGTAGCATAAACATCGCATGCAGGAGTACTCAACTGCTGCGCGTATCAAATGAACATTTATATGGTGTTTTAGAAGTAAAATGCAAAGGAAAATACAAGTTTGGTGCTTGGCAAAATTCAGAAGTGGAAGGGTGGACGGGTGATTTTGGAAATTTAATTAAAATAAGATTTTTTTGAAAGTTTCCGCTCAAAGCCCAGCATTACCCTGCATACTACATAACAGCAGAATGACCTGACTGAACAGTCCCGTCCGTAATGGGGAAGTCTCTATATTTTGTTGTCATTTTATAATTTGGTGTGGAAGGGAAGGGCGTGCTTCGATCGTCCTTTAATAATATTGAATGAGTGCAATTGTCTTGTAAAATTATTCTGTACAAAACTGCAGAATTATGAGTAAAATAGGGCAAACTGAAATATCATAAATTCTGTCCGAGGTCTGAGTGATAAACCAAACAACGCCTGATAGTTCTGTTTAGAATTACCTCAGAGGTGATGTAATAAAGCTAGTTTACGCACCACCAGATTTGCAAAGTAAACTTGTAGCGAGCCACACAAAAAAATTCGGCCTGGTTTTTCATTTTGGCCTTTTCTTTATAAGTTATAAGGTGTAAATTGGCTGCCACCGAGGACTATCGTGTCTTAACGGCTTATATAGCATAAAATTATATTTCGGCCCTTTGCAATAAATACCCTTAAAAAATAAAGGTGGAGTAGCTGGGCAAATAGGTCATTTTGCTTAGGAAGAATTTGAAATTGTTTTCCTCGCCTAATCCACTGTGATCAAAGGTGATTGCTTCATATTGGGTGTACTTATAAGACTATTAACTCGATGAAAGATTTTAGAGGTTGGTTTATTCTTGCCCAGTTTGCAAATTATTTTTTCTCTAAAATCACCCAGCCCCACCCTTAAAAGTCATATGGACCTCCCCAGTTAACTGATTTGTGGATTACAAGCCTATATATTGTTTGATTTAAATTATAAATTTATTAACTGAAGCTACACTTTTAGCCCTGGCTAAATATATGTATTATGTTTTTTCATGCATAACGCTTTTGAATGTGCAATAGTGCAAGACAAAAACAACAAATTTATACAGGTTAGGCCCGTTTCAAACGTCGTGCTACTGCCGTGCCGAACTAAATTGATCGAATTAAATTCGACTTTAGCACGTTAGTAGCGTGACGTTTGAAACCAAGTCGTGCTACTGCCGTGTAGCACGGCAAGCTTCAGCGTGAAACTTTGCCGTGCTACACGGCAGTACCTCGACTTCGTTTCAAACGTCGCGCTACTGCCCCGCCAAAGTCAATTCATAAATTATAAATACATTACAACTGATACATTTAAAAGTTTGCTAAACCGTTTCTTTATTTTTGTGTTTTGTTTTCGGCAACAGCCGTTCTATTCGACTGAATTAAATTCGACGTATGAAACCAAGTCGTGCTAGTGTCGTGCTGCAGTCGAGCTACAGTCGAGCCAGCTTAGCACGGCAGGAGCACGACGTTTGAAACAGGCCTTACGCTTTTCGCATTGTACACGCATCAGCTCTCGCCCGACAGATGTTGATAAATTTCCTCTTTTTTTCCCTTACAAGTCTGTTTCTCAGCTGGTTGTTGACAAGCGAACTAAACAAACAACGGGTTTCAAGCAAAAAGGAAGTACATTCTGAAGATGATCTAGGTGTACTAGTGGTACTTCCGGGATAAATATCAGTTTCCAAACGCATCAATGATAATAAATTACCACAAATCCTATCCAAATTCAATACATCATGAGGCCATTTAAAACTGACGCAAGCATGTTGGCGTTTCTTGCGGTGCAGTCAATACTCTATTGCTCTATATAAACGTGCGTAGTTTTTTACTGTAATGAGTACTTTGAAGAGTTTAGTGTACCGCTGAGTACAGGAATATTACTTTACATTGTGAGTAATGTTTGAAGATTCAGCTCAGACTTACCGATTTTCTCAGGTGTACGTTTCCGTCAATAACGTAGACAAACAAGGGCACACTGCCTTTCTCCAGGTATTCATTCAAAACTGTGTCCAACACGTCCGACTCACTCTTGCCAGGCGAGTCAATCAGCTGGATTCCACTTCGGAGGAGTTCGTGCTTCAGTCCCACCTCCACGGTCGCGTCCAATGCATTTTCGTTCTCTCGGTCATGATCAGTGACTACTATAAGTTCCTCGGGAATTTTTCCCTTTGTTGGCGCCTTTCTGCCGACTTCTACGCCATCCGATCCGACAAGAATGGCATATGGCTCATCGGAGTATTTGATCCTAACGATTCTTGCCGTGCATGGATTTTCGTGCACGGGTAAAGAACCCTGTTGAAGGAGCTCATTAATGATGGAGCTCTTTCCACAGTTTCTTTCGCCAATGAAAAATACAGAAGGGCTTTTCCTTAGCTCTCTTTGTACTTCGTCGAGTTGAGAAAAGGGAATTAATGTGTTTGTGTCTTCTGCTTCACTCGAACTGATGTCCATGCTTTCCAAGATCTCTTGAAAACAACTCGCGGTCCGCTTAAATAGCGATTTCGTACGAACATTGTAGCACTTAAATTCATTGATGGCGTCTTCAAGAGATTTCTGCAGGCAATGATCAGCCATCGCAGACTACCATTCAAGTTCAAAGAAGCTGTGCTTTCGCCCTCTGCGATCAACAGTTTTCTCGTGATTTCTGGGAAATTTCCCTTTCGATTAAATGCTGCACCAGGGACTGGACTTCAATTAAAAGAAAGAATGGAGCAAGTATAATTACTCCAAGCAACCTTCTCTGCCTTCTTATCACCCGAATTTCATTTTTATCAGGAAGTACAAAATAATTTAATTTATATCTAACGAGTAGCCAATTGTCTGAATGTATATTGCGTATTACTATTGTATAAAGTGATTTACTTCTGGGCACGTCACGCAATCTAGTCGTGACAAGTTCAAGGAAGTACAAGTTTGTTGCTGTCTGGATACAAATACAGAACAAACAAACTGTCTTCAATGACTGATACCGGATGCTACAGTTTCCTTTTATATAAATTAAAAGCATGAGATGCTTGGTGGCGTACAGTTTTCACTGGGCCTTGTTGTCAGACAGCAATGAACTTCCTCATACTTTTTGGCCGGGTGAAATTTGGCGGTTGCCAGTAAGGGAAAAACTGTAAGGATATTTTTAATCTCGACACGACAGACAAAGTAACCAGATACGTCATTTTACCTGTAAAAAGAAATTTTAATAATCAATGACTGGTTTTCTAAGCTGGTTTATTTTTGAGTTACAAATGCACAACTGCTTCAGACAAATGACATGAAACAAATGAAACAAGTCGCATTTGCGACCTAAAAGAGAAAATCATATAATTAACATAAAATAAAAGCTTTTAAAGCTTGTAAAATATGTCGATCTGTTATTAGGCAACTTGCGGAAGTCAGGAGCCCATAACCCGGAGAGTGCAATTCTCATACTTAGCCTATGCAACGGCTTTTGAACAAATCAAGTTATTTCTTGCATCATTTTTTAGCACTTTTTCACGCGAAAATGGAAACACCGTTTCATATGCGTTCGCATCCATAGTAAATTAATTACCAAAAGAAGAAGTACATGCAGTCAGAAATACTTTAGGTTTTTATGCCTGAACAATTTGTAAGAATTACAATCAAAACTCGCGCGAAAACGGCGTTCTAAAACTAATAAACTGGGCTTTGAAAACGCCATTGAATGGACACAATTGCAAGGGAGTTGCTCGCTCCGGGTTATCAGTTATAGCACTTGCTTAAGGCCCGATAAAAAGTTTGAATCGTTGTGGTCCAAAATATAATTTTTATAAAATAATTTTATGGTCTAAAATTGTGCAAGGATTTAAGAAGACGCAGCGTTTACAAATTCTGGACTGGAACTGAGTAAGAGCAGGCTAGTCCCTATGCGTTCTCTCCTGCCCCGTTGTCAACGAGAAGTCTGCGAAAGAGCGGGCGTGTATCTCTCGGCAACGTCACAGCTCACGGTAGAATCCAGGGTTGACCGAGCCGAGAACACCTAAGGACTAGGCTGGAGTAAGAGTAATCGTGCAGAAAAATGCCGCACGTGACCACCCAATATCCATGTCATTTAACTGCTTGGTCATGCTACATGAGAAAGTAAAGTCTGTTGTAAGATTTGTCGGGGGTTCTTCAGATTTAAAAGACTACTCGTAGACTATAAGATTTATGGTACAACATAATTTTCAGCTGGCGTCATTGACATGTCCCTCTCTAGAAATTTACGTGAATGAACCACAATGCAGAATGACTATTTGTAATTGTCTTTATGTCCTAGAATCATTCTTCTACGAAGTCGTCTATTAAAGGTACATATAAATTCGTTAATGGCCATAGGGTTACGTTACAACAAGAACCACACAAGAAAACCCCCAGACATGAACAAGCCCATGGTTATTGTAAGCCTCGATGTCCCTGACACTTCAGACGCCTTTGGTCCCTCTCCCTTGTTACACAAGTCGTCTTCGCAGCAAGAGTCACACACAGCTGTCCCTTCTGGATCAGGGGACGCACAGTTGTTTGAACATGATCCAACTGCAGAACAACTTCGCCTAAAGGTGGTCACAGTTCCGTCCTTGCGAAATGTTTTTACGATGATGCAACGATCTTCACCCGATGAACAGCTGACGACTGTGTTATTGCCAAGCCCATATTTCGGTAACTCGCAGTGTTTGAGTGCATCGGGGTTATCCTCGAGGGTACAACTATAGCATTGCAGTGAATAAACTGCAAACGATACAAAAAGAACATTTATTTACTAGTTAATTTAATTCTTTAACTAGTTATTTTGTTGTATTGTTGAATTGAAAGGACTTTTAGACAGTCTAGCAACTTTTTAGTTTGCTCAATTTCATTTCATTCCCGAACTTTCCATTGGGGGAAACTAGCCGGATTACCATTACATTTGATTGACGTGTTACCGCCTCTCAGCCAATCAGAAACTTCCGTACGCCTTGATTTTCGGCCTATTCAAACGACCCAAGAATTAGGGCTGGCGGGGTTTCAATTTGATTTTTGGATTGATTTGCTCCCAATCTTCGCGCGGCTGTGGCCGCCAAAATACTACTATAACTACACTCGCCTGCTAATCCCGCCAGCTACGCAGGCTAGAGAACACCATTATCCGATTTGGCCTTCTTTTGACCTATCAAACGCTCAGAATGTGACCACGCGAGTTCACCTTTTTGGTTTGACAAACAAAGCCACGTAACCCGAGTCGTGAACGTCTGGCGCCGAAGTCAACTGTCACGCGTATCTCTGAATTCGCGGTCTACTTATTGTTTTGGTAGTACATACAGTGAAACCTCTATTCACGGACACCTTCGGGACCTTCCTAGGTGTCCGTCTAACAGCGGTTGTAAAAATTGCGCAATGTTTGTTAACGATGAACATTCAACGGTTACTCTGTACTGTGATAAAGTTGCATGTTGTTAAAGAAGCTATCCAGAGTTCAAGTTCATAAGGCATTATCTTTCATTACCAACTTTTATTTGTTTGTAAACGCAAAAGTATTAACTGACTTCAGTCCGTATTTCAAGGACGCAATCCAATACCACTATTGTCAATTCAGTCCGGTGTCCGCTTAATAGAGGTTTTTAACAATAGAGATTAGCCAAATACACCTTATTTCAGTGTCCGCATCCGCTTAATATAGAGGTGTCGGCTGAATGGTTCGTTATAAAAGAAAATATCAGACGTTCATTTCGGGACCCGGCTTAGTGTCCACTTAATAGAGGGTGTCCGCTTAATTGGGGGTCCGCTTAATAGAGGCTTCACTGTAGATAGAGGAGGGTAACTATGGGTAGTATTACAGTCTTCCCAAAAGCCGGCCCGTTGCACTCGTCTCCAACCTTGTGGGTGGTGCCGGGCTCGAATCCTGCAGGGGATCGCAGAAAAGGTTAAATTCGTTGTTGTTTCTCACCCATGATCCAAGATCTAGAGTTCCTCCTCCGGTAAGACAACCTCCATAAAAAATGAGCCAGGATTTCAAATTATGCAAGACCGTACTTCGCCAGAGGAATTTTTTAATCGAGGATCTATCAGAAAAGAATTAACATAGAGCTATGTGTTTTTAACAACACAAGACTCCCCGGCTTTAACTTTTTCCGATTGCGACTGCCTTGGTAACCTCTATTGGATAAGCCACCGCCTTTTTTTCTGGCGTTTTTCTGTTTCTCTCATACTGAATGAAGTATGCCTACCATGTCACTCTACTGTTGTTTGCTGTATCTATTATGGTAATATTAATTTTAATTTTGTCCGTTTTTGCAGTCAGTTGAATGGTTAATGAATTTTCAAGGTTACCGGTAAACAGACGGACGAAACTTTTAGCTCCGTGTTTTAAGAGGTTTGACTAAGGTTTTCAAAGAGCAATTCACGCACCCGTTTCACTGTTCCACTGATCCCTATACAGATTGAGTGCCCACATGACGCCTTCTATAGCTAGCCGACAACGTTCCGCTTACGTTTGAGGTTCGGCACGTCCTTATAAAACGAGTTCACCATATCCTCTCTAAAACCACTAGATAACCAACTTACAGTACTTGATTCAGTTGGATTGGATTGAGTTGATTGGAGCCTATTAACTTATTAAATTTGAACCTTAAATCTTGGCGATTTATATGACCTTCAGTTGAATTTCTATTTGTCTGAACCGTTCTTCGCCCGCTCGCATTGATTTATTCGCGAAACATATCTGATGCTACAGGCTGTATATAAATTCAAGGCTTTACCTGCTGTTACACATGAGAGGAATAACAGTACATGTAGTCCGTCTAGTGATATATTGCCCATCCCGAATCTGAAGAATGCTACCGTGAACCGTAACGTCTTTGTAAAGAGATGCCCGCAAGGACCCAAGCTAAAACAGAATCGAACAGAAATTGAATTGCAAATTAAAGTGATGACTAATGTTTATTCTTGTTTTCGTATTTGCACAAATCTGGTGGTTTCCGCTCAAGAAAAAAAATTCAAATATGTAATAGCAATCTGATCATAAGACAGATATTACTGGTTTTTGAGGCTGGGTATGACATGAAGAATAATACAGGTCGAGGGATCGAGGTTTCACTTGAATTGAATATACATACAAGTTCTTTGTTGTTTTGTACATTTACCTCCAAGGCTGTGCTCTGAGGAAAATTTCAGGGGGCCCTTCGGGCTCCCAAGCATTTTAGCTATGTCACCCAGACCTCCAAGTTGGCGGTGTATGACATTTGCAGACTGCAGACTGCAGACCACAGACCACAGACCACAGATTGCAGATTGTAAATTAAAAGACACCTAAAATCTTCCTAATAAAGGTGACACCATCAAAAATATAACATCGTGTGAAAGTGAGAAAGTAGCCAAGTTGGCCTCATTTCCAAGATGCTGTTGGCTATTCTTCACTGACGCGACTCTTTATTAACTCACCCAGCATATCACTAATTGTGTTGATTCTTTATTCTTCTTTGATTATTGTGAATTGATAATGACAAGTAGCAATGCCCACTAATGACTGTCTAAATAGTGGTCTTCTGTAAAAAAACAGTTTTTAGATTGCGAGCACTTCGTGCTCACTACGGTTACGTCAACAAAAACAACTAGGATAAATGACGTATTTCATCTTAGCAGTATTTAAGGATATGCTAAATAATCTAAACCGAACAGATCCTACCTGGACTCGACGAATTACCGGAAGTGCATTTTGAATTTCTAAATAGGCAAATCAACAATGGCTTTTTTTAACAGGCCAATCATTACTCATACTCAAATCCTAGTACACAGGTGGGGCGCCCGTAGAATATGGATTCCGGCGCTGTTTCAGAGACAGACTTACATAACCAGAGTTTAGTTTCGTCTGTGGTGCAGGCTAAATTGCTAGCCTGTTGCTATGGATTCATGAGCGAGTTTGTGACATCGGAGGACATTATTCTGCTCTAATTCAATACAAGAAGAACAGCCAACAACTCCTTTAGGAATGAGGTCGGTGTAATTTGCATGAAAAATATAAACTTCGCTTTTAGGCCTTACATGTACTTCTCGGAACAAGGTAATGTTGATGATGATGCCACCTTTATTAGGATACTTTTGGTTTCATTCAATTTACAGTCTTGCTGCCTCATGCAGTCTGCAGTCTGCAGTCTGCGGTCTGCAGTCTGCAGTCTGCAGTCTGCAGTCTGCAAATGTCATACACTGCCAAGTTGGTCGGGGAGCCCTTTGGGGTCCCAAGCATTCCAGCTGGGGTGCTCAGGCCTCCAAGTTGGTCGCCTGAGTACATCTGATGAAGAAGTATTTTGTCCGCACGCGAATCTTAGTGGCTTGCTTCTCACCAAACTTGGTTATTTTAGCTTTTGGGTGCGACAAAAACCCACATGTTGTCTTGTGAAACCCATCAAAGTTTTTGTGCCATTGAGGTTTAAAACCAGAACCGTGAGCAATGCCACCGAATTGTTCAGGGTTTAAAGAGGGAAAAGTAAAAATTTCAGCAGGTTTACGTAAACTTCATTAAGATGTTTGGGTCAAAAATAGGAAAACTGTGCTTTTTACCGGTAATGCTAAACTTGAAAATAAATTTTCAAAAGGTGAATCAATGCGGCATGAAATAGAAAGTGACCGTGTTTATGTGGCAGATCGAACTCAAGTTCCCGTGAAAAATTCCGTGAAACAGGGGAGGGGGGGGGGTTAATAGAGAGGAAGGGCTTATTAACTTTCCTCCTCTGAAAAGGGGGGCTTATTAGAGAGGGGGGGCTTTATAGAGGATTTATGGTATGTTTAATTTTTCTGCCCGCTTAACTGAACACTGCACTAGAAGCAAGAGTGCCTGGCTGGGCAACCGGGAATTTTTTTTCAGTCGGCCGAAGCTAAGTGTTAGTTGCCTCAGGCGACAGGGCTCCGTTAGAGCACAGCCTTGACCTCAGAATAAATTAGAACTGTAATGTCAAGCAGTAAAACTATTGAAGGAAAATATTACTACATGTATGGGTATTAGTTTTGATCAAACAGTAGATCCAGCTAGAGCACTAAATCCCGGTGTATTCAATCGATGAAAATCAGTATCGATAAACATTGGTAAATCTGATTTGATTGATATCGACTGTATCAATCAATCAGTAGAAATCGATGACACATTCGTTCATCGATTTATCTTGATTTTTACTGATGTCATCAATTTACAGTTATATCAGAAGATACATTCGTTCATCTGTTCATAAAAACATGAAAACAATTGAGTTGCAATTGAGAGTTGAAGAATCGAAAAATGATTGCTGTGGAGCGAGCAAAGTGAGTGAGCAGCAGCATAGTCAGGATTTAAGAGAAATATATAAGGTGGGACGAATTCTCGAATTCATCACTTTTACCAGAATGCATCGACCACTGCAGAAAATACCCTGTAACATGCCATAATACTCTTAATTAGTCACTCCAACATTTTGCATAAGCATTGTCTTAAGTTTAAAATATTGGCCCCAAGAGAAACTCATGCAAAATTTTGGAGTGACCAGCTTAGAGTATTATGGTATGTTATGGTATTTTCTGGAGTGGTCAATTGCATTTCACCAGCTGAGTGCACTGCGCCACTTTTAACAGAATGCATTGCACCACAAACAACTTCAATAAAAACACAAGGAAGTTCGGTGGGTGACAGTGTGCATCGTTCGTTGCTCAGACTCAGAGTTTTCTTTGTGGCAAATTTTCTACAGCACGGTTAGAGGTCTTACCAAATTTAAGACATGCAGGAGTCTTTCAGATGAGTACGTATGATGGTTAACTTGGGGATTAGATTCCAATGCAAGAGCCTTTGACTAGTCCAGGTGGTAAACGTGATGAGAAGATAAGCATTTTCTCTTTGACTCCGCAATACGGTGGATATACAAATTCCAGCGTACTAGAAGGTGATATGAAAGTGGGAAAATGTCATGCCATGCTATTCTGTCTATTCTTAAGAACCTTTATGAGCCGAAAATGGATGTGATTTTGACCATTAGCTTGAAAATAACAGCAGTAATTGAGATAACAAACATATGTTTTGCGTCCTTCTTTGCAGACGAGGACGTGTCTCGGCGTTTGTAAAGCATAACTATGTTCTTTCATTAATTCATTACCATGGAATACGCGTTTACATTTTGTTTTTCACTGTGAATAGCTCAGTTAATGCGGCACGATTATCTTTAAACAGAACTCGGCGTTTCATGGAAAAGGCATTAAATTGAAGACTTTTCCCCCAGGTTACATAATCAGCCTCTGTGGTGTAGTGGTAAGGTGTAGTCTCGTTGAGGTGAAGGTGCCGGGTTCGAGTCATACTCTTTACCTTAGTTTTTTTTTTGTTCGTTCTTTTTTTTCTATTTTTTGTGTTCTAGACTGTTTGTTGAAACCTTACAACTCGCCCCCAGCTAGAATGGTGCAGCTTTTTTTCTGATGTTTGCATGATATACTTCACGTTGTTGGTGTTATTTTTAATATTAAACTTTGCATAATTACCTCTCAATATCTTTTGATATGAGAACATGGAACCCCCTTTGCCCAGCAGGTACTTATCCTCAAATATAAAAATTTCCTTTCAGTGATATTTTACTCTGTGGCATTTCTGTACACATCCAATCAAAAGATTTTCTAACCTAACACACTCTATAATCTATGATGACCATCAGTATTTGAAACACCTACCAATTTAGTAACTACTTGTCTTCTGCTGATACTGTTTATTGCAACTTCTCAAAAATTGTCCTCAGTCAACCCAAAAAATCACTGGGAATGAATGGAGTATTGGAATGATATATAAAGATGCCAGGGTCACTCCCAAATAACATTGCTGCTTTACTTATGCTCACAGCAATAAAGCAAATATGGGTAGTGAAAATTGCCATTCATATGGTTAAATTTTTAGGTCACTCAAAATATATTCTGCAATTCACCTTTCAGGGTCCCAAAAATCAGATTTCCCCCCGGGAGGCCCCCAGATCCCACCAGTGGAGGGAATGATGCCCCTTCCCACATTTTCCCCACACATAAGCACCTCTCCATCTAATTTACTGCTGCATACCTAACTTTTTCTCTCTTATCTTTATCTTATTGAAGAACTGTAATGCAGATCACCATGATAAGAAACAAATGCAAATTTGCAGTTGCGAAAAACAAACTTTTACTTGTCTTTTGTTCAACACTAAAGGGACGTCATCAAAATGTCTTGGGATAGCTATATTGATAACCTTGTCGCACAAACTTAAGACTCTTCAGGAGCTGCTCATGCTGACAAAGCCTGTATAATTGGATTGGATGGTGGGGCCCCATGGTCAACTGCTGGTCATGCATCTGCATTAAAGGTAAGAACAATTCTCTCAGCTGTGGAATATGAATGTAAGTAGGGGTGATTGCTGCATCGTTTAATAAAGATTGGATGCCCATTGCAGTGTCCAGGGGCTCTTACCAAGGCAAACTGAGTGCTGCTCCCATGCCCTACTGCCTTGAGTATCTATGCCATGGTGGCCATCCTACATGTATTATTAGCACCCCCCCCCCCCTCTCCCAACCCAGTTTAAGAGGTAACTTGGACTCTCCCTCCTCACATGAGAAAGAAACAAAAGTAATTAAAAATACATTTAATAATCGCTAATTACCTTCAAAGCTTTTGCATTTCTGCTTCATGACCTCAGACTAGTTCATTTTAAGTCGTGAAACCTTTCTAAATGTCATATTTTCTTATACATGTACTTCTTTAGAAAACCACAACCACAAAAGCTTACAACAGTAAGCCTGCTGTGTGCCGATTTTGTTTTAAAGATTGAGTTTTGATATCAAGTCTTGCAGGCAGC